GTTTTTGTGCCTTTTATTAGTGCAGAATGCCAGTCCTGTTGATACGAAACTTTGAGTCTACCAAGAAATTCATTCAAAAATAGCGTTTCACTTCGAACCATCTGTTCTTGCCAAACAAATCCAAATCCATAGACTTCTAATATATGCTTTATCCTAGATGCCCAGCTCCTGCAACCATTACTTTCCATTTGTACAAGCATGTTATAACATTTCTTTACATATCGCTCATTTGACATTTTCAATATTTTACACCAATATTTGATAGACCTTTTGATGGTATAGATATACAATGGATATCTTCCACATTCGCCTCGCACAACATGCGCTGAAACAGAGGATTTAATTCCTAGAAATCGTTTACAAGCTGCTACATGTATAACTTCTATTTCGTTACAACATTCTGTCCCCATATTTCTGCATCGTATAATAAAATTGGACAAACTTTGGTGTCGAAAATCTTAAAGAACAAGTGAAAAGGTAATGGCTTAAACATTGACAGTGATCTAAAAATACCAAATAAAACTTGCTTAGCCTGCAGTCATACATTTTCTATGTGTTTGGTCCATACTAATGACCTACTGAATAAAATACCTAGATATTTGTACCAGGAAACACATTCTATTTGTACACCATTATAGAACCATTTTTCATACTTCGACAGTCTTCCACCTTTCTTAAAAACTATTACTTTTGTTTTTACCGTCAAACAATTCTCAGAACAAAATATCTTTAGGACATCAAGTCTTTTCTGTAAACCAATCACTGTATCAGAGACAAACACAAAATCATCAGCAAATAAAAGAAGAAATAACTGTACAAGTTCAGGATGAAGCTGAATTCCTGGTACGCAACATGCTTCGATTTCATAAGCTAGTTCATTGATAAGAATGGAAAAAAGAAGGGGGCTTAGGATACACCCTTGTCGTAGACCCAATGGACAATCAAAACATGTTGATAAATTATTATTAAATTTGACACACGCTTTAACACTTGCGTAGAGGGCTTGGATTGATTTAAGCATTTTGCTGCTTACTCGTCTTAGCCTTAAAATATTCCACAGTTTTGTACTATTCACGAAGTCGAAGACTTTGGAAAAGTCTATGAAACATGCATACACTTTACCTCTCTTTTTTGAGAGATAGCGTTCAATAATGGACTGTAGGATAAAAATGTTATCAATAGTACTGTAACCTTTGCGAAAACCCGCTTGCGATTCAGCGATTTTTTCATAGCAAGAGCACCAAAATGTTAGTCTAATATTCAGAATGTGTATGTACAGCCTGCTGAAGATACTTGTAATTGATATACCTCTGTAATTGACACTACACTAGTGTCCCCTTTTTTTATGTATAGGTACAATAAGACCCATACACCACGATTCTGGAAAATACGCTCGATCAAACAGAACACTGAATAGCAAATGAATATAGGGAACTAAAATATAACTGTGAGGACTTAAAAAATTCTGCTATGATATGATCAGGCCCAGCACTCTTGGATGATTTTAGTTCTGTAATCGCTGCACAGATCGCTTGTAATAGGAGCGTCAAGTATACTAGGGCTGTCTTGATCTATCTTCTCTTCCATATCATGATCGATAGAATGTTAATCGACATTAAATGTAACCGTATGTTGAAATATGTTTTTGAAATGTGTATACCACGAGTCCATTGTTATGTTGGGAATAGAATTCTTAGATGAAGAAAGCCTGCACATGGTGTTCCAGAACAATTTTGAGTTATTCAAATTTGTCAGTAATTTTATCTTTTACAGATCCGTAGTAATTTCTTATTTTAGATCTTAAAGTACAATTGTACTTGTTTCTGGCGTGTACATACTTTCGTAGCCATGCTCCATCGTTAAAATGCCTAAAACACCCCAGAAGTCTGTCTTTCTCATGTATTAGAAATGTGCACTCTTTGTCAAACCAAGGTTGTGAATTTCGTCTATTTATGCCATGTTTGCGTTTCATACACTGTGCAGCTTGACATATTGCATTTGTAAGAAATGTTACTGCGTTGTTAATATCTGAAAGAACGTTATCTCAAAAGCTTTCAAGCAATCTAGATATATCAGGTGAAAGTAAATTCTCCCTGAATTGGCCGACCTTGTCCACATCCCACTTAAATCTAAACTTCGCACCCTCGCCACGTGCATCCTGTATTACGTTACCATCCTCGCGTAGAGTGGCGTGTATGCCACGTGACTGAAACGTACATCGTACAGGTAAATGGTCAGACTCAGACCTCGTAACGACATCGAATTCGTGACACAATGTGAATAAAGAACTTGAAGTGATAATAAAGCCAATGACACTTGTACCCACTGCTGAAACAAAAGTATATTCACCAACACCTGCATCTGAACCACATCTTCCATTCATGATAATGAGATTGAAGTAAATACAGAGCTGTAGCACTGAACGCCCGTATTTGTTTATCACCATGTCACGCGAATGACGTGATATATTACGGGTATCGTGTATATATGAGCAATGGTCTAAACCAACATGACTCGAAATATCATGTAAAATGTAATCCAACTCTATACCTGTTCTTGCATTAAAATCCCCACCTAGTAGTACATCTACATTGCCAAGCTCTTGAATTATGTCAAGTAATGATTCTTGTAAAATACGTATACCGCACTTAGTGGGCTTGTTGTTATACCATGGAGAACTTTCTGGGTGTATGTACACACAAGCCATAAGTATATCTTTATTTGTAGAGAGCATAGATTTGTCAAACACAATAAAAATTGCATTCCCAGTACATTTGTGTAACTTAATGAACTTCTGTATACTCCTTCTAACTAAAACTAGAATGCCGCCTGATAGTCTTCCTGCATTAGATAGTTTCACTGTTGGAACACTATAACGCACATACTCAGGGAAATCATCTTCAAGAGAAGTATGATCATGCCAGGTGTTCAGTGAGTCCCACAATGTCATGGTGTGCTAGGAAGGATAAGAAGACATTATCACACACCTTAGAATACAGTACATTAATGTTCCAAAAAAGGAAACTAATACAAGATTCCGCCTGGGCGGGGCCACGCCCCTATCTGTTATCATTCTGCCCACCCTTCCTATGGGCTCGTAGTCGAGGGCGAGTGTTGGTATCGCTCTGTCTGTCAGACTGTCTGTCTGACTGGCTAGCAGACGATTCATCAGCGTCCTTGATGATAAGCTTGCCATTCTTATAATAACCGAATTTGTTTTCACTTTTCAGTTTCTGTTAAGTTTCTCTCTGTTTCTTTGTAAGGTCGTTAGAGATCCCATACCTAATACATTTCAGTTTATGTCTCAGACTGACCGCCCATGACTTATCTTCTGGGTACATAAACTTCACTATCATGGGTTATGCTATCTTTCACACACATTGATTTGACTTTTCATGCGTATATCTGAATTATCCATGTGTAATTTAAGCAGATACGCATCTTATCTGGAGCCCTTACTATACGTGTGCTTCAAACATTCTGTCCAAACTGTGTGTTGTTTAAAATCATATTTGTTAGCTGGTCGATTGAACTTACCCGCCAGTCAGTGTGAATACCCCGCATTGCGTTTCCATGCTTACCTCCCTTTAACTAGTTCAGTGGACGCGCTTGAACAATGTCGACAGCAGCAGGTGTACTGTTGTATATCATGTTGCACAGCTTATTTATGAAGAGCTTTCAGTGAGACAGGGTTATCGCCGCCTCTTTGAACATTTGTTTAGAACAATTTGAAGGAAATATCTGGACAATGACATCACACCCTAGTTATGTTGATCATTGCGAAATAGGTCCCCCCACCACGTAGCCATATTGGGATAATATCCACCAGTCCAAAAGTACGCTAGATGGTATAGAGATGCGCTTATTTCACCTGACGTGTCTGGATTCGGAAGCCTCTTTTGTCACTCGGAGATCAAATGACAAACGTCCTATTTTTGAATTTAGGTAATATGAATACTGTGTTGGTTTTAAATATGTTAAACGTGCGTCTGACCCAGACTCTTCAACAGATTCGCCGAGTCTCCCATGCCTTTCATGGACATAAACAAACTAAACACACATGAAGATCACGGAACACACACACACGCACTCACGCACACACATGCACTCACACACACACATACAACACAATACGTTTTGTTATTTAACGCCGCACTCAGCAATATTCCATCTATATGGCGACTGTCTGTTAATATTCGTTTCTGGACCAGATAATCCAGTGATCAACATGATGAGCAGTTGGGATGCGATGACATGTGTCAACCAAGTCAGCGAACCAGACCACCCGATCCCGTTAGTCGCCTCTAGCGACTAGCATAGGTTGCTGAGGACCAATTCAAGCTGTTTTTAACTAACCCACTCATCCTTATAAAGAGCAGTCAGTGTTATAAAGAACTACACATTATATCCAGTTAAGCGAGTACTTTCATTCGCGGAAGTTGGTCTTAATACACCCTATAATCGTTTGAAAAAAACACAAACTCGTAAAGAGCAATACCTATTCATATAGCTGTACATATAGTACAGTTTTCAAACACGTACACTAATCGATGCCCGAGGCCGATAAACAATCATGAAAAAATCACGGTGTCCCTATTCTATCCATTTTAACATGTCGCAGGGGCGGGTGTTGGAGAAAGGAGTGTGAATTAAACTGTTAATTAATTATTTAATTAATTAAACTTCCCGAAAACCTTCCGAAAATATGTGAAAAATAATCATGCTTCAAGTTTTACATAAACGATTTTACTTAGCATACATTGTGTCTTGGAAAATGTACTAGAGGTACCCAAAATGTAATCAGAGAAAAAATACCCGACATAAACAACACACAAATACTGTTCTGAAAACAACCAAGACAATCCAGCAAGCAAGACAAGCCTACCAGACTTCTGAATCGTGGATCTCTGAGGACAACTAAAGTAACACCAACTGCTGTTGTCACGCCGTATAGGTAGAAACGTCAGTGACGCGGACACATTGGATAGCGACGGGTTCGTGTGTATCGTGAGGCTCCCTCAGGGATGGACGTGTTCAGAACTGGCCAGCCTCGGTATCGGGAACCCAAACCGGATTACCACTTACCTGTAAGTGTTGACTACACTTATATTAGGAGACATAATTTACATACCTGTATTTTACTATCCATAGACACGTGTGTACTGACTGTAAAGGCATTGTACCCTATGTCAGATGTGTCTTACTTTGTCATATTGTATGATACGATCTTGGCGACTGAATGTAGAATATGACACATAAAGGCTTCCAGATAAATAGATAGGTTTTGGGGTACACAGCTACGATGAGTGAAGCCGATTTTTTATGTCTCTCGCTTTGATGTTGATGGATAGAGTTTACAACGGCGTAAAATCACACACAGTGATATGATATTACAAAAACATATTTAGAAAACACGGACATAAATCCACAGATTTACCTTACACACTCACTGTGGTCGCTCAAACAGCCGGGAGCAATAGGACGGTTCAAAGGCAGATGTTCGGGTAACCCAATGGTCTTTTCTATTTGTATGAAAGGAAAACGCTTATATGTTTTTTCCGTCAATCTTTATCTCTATAGTTTAAATGCCTATATCAATATGATCAGACGAGCAATTTTCGGATGTACAGTTTCAAATGTTTCGCAGTCATATCATTCATTTATTGTTGTCATTAACGAAAAAAGGCAACATGACCGCCATGTTATCTTCACATGGACTGTTTAGTATGTTAGACATGGCGAGGTGGATTCTGGGGTCGCCACGCCTGGCTGACCTGTACACTTATACTATACACTCTATTCAGTCACCCATCAACAAAGTAAATGTATCACCGGAGGCGTCTCACAACGAGTGTCTCACCACAGAGGACCGCGGCATCCTATAGGTGATTATAGAACAGTTCAGTTCACGTTCCTAAAACTACCTGCGGTGATACAATGGTATACGAACACAACACACAACATGCATTCAATAAGATCTAGATAGATGGCATGATGATAATGCGATTTCACATAAAAATGAATTTAATTGTGCCATAGATCAGGGCAAATGTTAAGTGGATATATATTTTAGATGATAGTGTTTTACGTGGGTTATGTGAATTGGGCCACATGAAATAACTGGTGCAGGTGTACCTGTCCAGACTATGTCGTCTGCACAGGTGACGTTTGCGCGGAGCACGACGTGCACGTATCATCCCACCAAGGGTACACCATTTGAATCAGAGGCATCAGTGGTGAGGTGACCTCAGGGCGGGGATAATCGACGTTTGGCTGATGTCATGTTTTCTGACGAATCTTGGTTCATGACCTCCATGTCCGAAGGAATCGAGTTTGGACATGTCCTAATCAGCGTTGTATGGACGTGAACGTCGTACCCCATAATCGTCTGGGGTTGGGTCTATTGTGCTATGGTGCGGTATCACAATGAATCGGCAAATGCGCTCAACGCTAACTGGACAACATCATTGCATCAATCATGGCGCAATTTTTCTCACCGTGTTCGGCAACGTTACAAGTACATGTTCAATACACATGTTCACCGTGCCAAGATTTCTACTCAGTTCCTCAAACAGCAAAACACTAATGTTTTGCGATGGACTGGACACAATCTCGATCACTGCAAATTGGAACCATATTTATCCAGGTGACATTGGTCTACTATTCAGAAACATGGTTCGACGTATTCGTGCAAGTCATGCCAACACAGGTGTTTTACTCGATATTAATAACGTTGGCTGTGAACTGCAGATTTTGAACTTTACCCCCTACAACGACTCCACACAAACCATAAAAACCCTATTAGATCTGTTTGCCTGCTCCCAAGCAGATACAATCATGTCATTTCATTTGCCTGTACCATATGGATAAGAAGATATGTCGTGATGATTCCCATTGTACTTTATCATTTTTGGCAGTATATATACCATTTGCCTTAAGCATGAATCTGTTTCAGTTTTGAGACACTCCCCGATCTTCCTTATTGTTTCCTCTTGTGAAAACATCCGTCAGAACATCTACCAGTTTCAACACAGCGAAACTTTTCCTCTCGGTTTTGGACCCTATCGTAACAAAGGTCACTCTCTTTACACCTCATCGCGCCATTATAGGTATAACCGCGCACCTATACCATTGATATATGATTCAACGGTATGTAGAACAAAACAAACCTCCTGGATTAGCGCATCTGCCAAGACTTCTCTTATGGCCCGTATGTCCGGCTAGCTTTTTCGAAATCGCCGAGCTGATGAAACCGAAACTTGCTTATATGTCTACCAATGACAGTTTGTTTAAGAAATTCTGATCCTAATTTCAATATGGCCGCCATGACAGACATTCTGTATTACCTTATGGAAATTATCAGCCGATAATGATATCAAAAATGCAAATGGCAGTAGTGTGGTTTAATGTTTGCATGGTTATTAAATATGTAACCAAACTGTGTTCGTAGGTGACTAAATATGAACAATCAAGAAATGGTTAATCGATGTTGAAATTAATGATTTGGAGGTAATCGTCCTGGAGTAAAGTGTGCAGTGGCGGTGGGGTAGCATAGTGGATAAAGCATTCATTGTTACGTAGTCCCAGGTTCGATTCCCCTCAGGGCTACTATGTGTGAAGCCCATTTCTGTTGTCTCTGTCGTGATGTTGTTTGGGAATATTGCCCAAAGCGGTGCTAAACTATACTCATTCCCTCACTCACTTAAGTTTGCAGTCACTGTGTTTTAACGACTGTTTTAAGACTGGTACTGTTGGATCATTGTGATGGTCACATCCAACATTCAAGTGCCAACGGGTTTTGTCTGGGAATTTATTTCAAATTTAAATGCAGTTCAAACAAGTTATATTCAAGAACGAAACTTTTTAAAAAGGGTTAATCTTTATGTGTGTCGTTTTGACGGCATTACGAAGGGTAATAGACTCTTTTTTCTCTCTGTCCTTCTCAGAATATGTACAAGTACATTTGCCCAAACTCAGAAAATGGGTTTAATTAAATGTAATAGAATCAACAAAATAAATACTTTTTTGAATTAAGAAGCGTAATAGAAACCCAATTTCTCATTAGTCATTGTTATTTTTGCGGAAATTATTTGGAAATTACTACCATTCGTTACGTGTCTGTCTTTGTTGAGGGGCGGTGGTGTAGCCTAGTGGTTAAAGCGTCCGCTCGTCACGCCGAAGACCCGGGTTCGTTCCCCACATGGGTAAAACATGTGAAGCCCATTTCTGGTGTTCCCAGCCGTGATATTGCTGGAATATTGCTAAAAGCGGCATACAACCATACTCACTCACTGTCTTTGTTGACATTAAACGACTACACTATTCAAGTGAGCTACAGTGTCCTGGCACTATTTTTCTATTGATACAACATGCGGAGATTTCTGAGACGAAAGTGGTATCTGAGTGGTGGGGTGGGGGTGGGGTTCTTGGAGGGAATCCTTAAGAGACAGGCAGTGACCCCTACCTTTGTGTCCATCAAGGTCACCGCTAAAACGGGTGGGTGTGGTGTCATGTTTTTCTCGATTGCCAGGCCATTTGGTTCATAGTTGACCGATCTACACGCTCTAAACATCGATGGTATTACTTGTGCTCTAAACCGTAACGACCACTCTCGGTGTGTAAAGAGTAAATGTATATACAATAATAGCTTTAGCATGACTAACTCCTTCTATCGCCATTGTGGAAGTTGAATTAGAGCTATGTATGTGACAACACGGCAATCTGGATTCACACATGCGTGAATGAAATATGGGTCATGATTGTTGGAGACTAATCAGTTGGAGCTGTGGCTAACATTGTGGTAATAAAACTTCCTTTGGGTATCGACATGACCGTTGAAATAATCATTTTGATGTGTCACTGTGTGCTTGTGAAAGCTTTCAATTTGGTGTACAAGCTGGCAAATACCCTTTGGGGAATGGATTCTAGAAGCAATAAAGGAACAGGTAGATGATAAACGGTTACCACTGCACAAGCATAAACTGATATTACAATGTGTTTTAATATGCGATATAACGAAAACTATAAAAATAATGACGATAATAATTAATTTCTCTGATTGGCATTCTAGAAGTTGAGGAGATGAAGAATGGGGACAATTGTTATGGATATACAACGTCCTTATTCTGTATGAGCGACGTTTCGACATAGATTCTAATGTCATTGTCAAGCAAGTGGATAATAATCAAGCCCACAAATCATGCCAATGGGGACCCATATTATATTATCACACTTTTATAGACTTGACGTTTTTGCATTCCTACGGCTGCAGGATGAACATTTTCGATCCAAGTTATTTTTCCAAATAAAAGTAGCAGGGCGTGGAGTCATCCCATAGGTGACATCCTTACCGTGTCAGCTTGCTGATGAGCTTAACATCTTTGGACATGTGGAAAAGGCGTCCGACTTCGGATCAGAAGGCCCGTGGTCTGGCTTCGGAAATGTTATGGCCGTTACACAAGCATAACACGTTTGAAAACCCGTGATGCTGTGTTGGACGGGACAGAAAAGAAAAGGTTAATTTAGAGTGTTTACCCACACACTGACTCGTCGAAGCTGGTTTCAAGAGATGCGTACTTGTAGACTGAAGAAATCCCAGAGCAGATTGACATTATCCACAACAGGTAGTAGACAACGAGTAAGAGATAATAGGGTGAAGCCAAGTGTGCGGCAAGGATTAAAACGTTGCAGCAAGCTGATGGATACAAATTAAGAATCAATTTCTTCGTAAGATCTTCCAACACAGTCGGACACAATGTTCTTCTTCTCTGTCAATCGGATTGTGATTTTAATAGTTTCTGCGAGAGTTTGTGATCCTTATCATAACTCAACATCACACATATGTCCATAGAACGTTGAGCCAATCTTTACAGACTTATGAGAGACTATGTAACATATAAAAATACAAAATTAAAGGAATATATATAGGATATATAATACATATTTACAGTACCAAGTTAAGAGTATCAAAGGTCATGTCGCCGCCGTAAGACTAGAAAGCAGGTTTTGGCTGTATTAAAAGACACTTGTGGATTGGACAGTAAAAATATAATCTTATCAACGTCACTAAATGACACATTCCTAACAGTAAGCTGCTCACATTTACTATAAAGGACATCTCTTTCAAAAGAATAAAATGGACACTGCAGTAAAACATGACATTCATCTTCAATAAAATCTTTACAATAAAAACATGTTCTTTCCTTTAGAGGAGTACAATTATATCGTCCAGTTTCACCTCTTATCATGCATGTATAACTCTCAAACTACGCAACTGGGATACGATCGACTCATTGTCACACAGGTCAGCTGCCAGTAAACGTAACAATGTGCAGGTTTTGGATATTCCTGAAACTTTACTGAGGAAACTGTGAGGTACAAAAACGATCTCGCAGACGAAGTTCAAACTCTATATATGGTTTAAATAGAGTAGTGAGGGGACTGAAATATTTGGGATACAGGACACAGCTGGATATATCTGGGATACATGATATATTGGGGAAACAGCTGGATATATTTGGGGTACAGCTAAAGGGATGTCCACCCATGGAACTCTATAGCTGAATATAATTTGAAGTACAAGTTCATTTGAGCTACAGCTGGATATATTTACAGGTAAAAGCGGATATATTTGGGGGGACTGATATGGTTCAAAACAGAGTAGGTATATTTGAGGGACTGGGGTATATTTGGGATACAGTACAGTGGATGGGGTATATATCAGCTGGGTATATTTGGGGTACATGGATATGGGTTACTGTCGGGTATATTTGGGATACAGCTGGTATATTACGGATATAGTTGGGTATATTTGGGGTATAGTTGGGTATTTTTGGGGGTATAGCTGGGTATATCTGGGGTACAGCTGGGTATATTTGGGGTATAGTTGGATATTGATAAAGGCGCTGAGAGGAATCAAAACCACTGGACCCACCTATTGACATCCTAAGGAAATAGAAGGAAACGAACTGAATAAACTCATGTTGGCAAAGTGGGCTTAAAGTACGATAAAAAGTCTACAATAAAAGTACAAGTTCATTCACTTTATATGGTACAAAAACGATCTCGCAGACGAAGTTCAAACTCTATATATGGTTCAAATAGAGTAGTGAGGGGACTGCGTATATTTGGGATACAGTTGGATATATCTTGGGTATAGCTGGATATATCTGGGGTATAGCTGGATATATTTGGGATACAGCTGGGTATATTTGGGGTACAGCTGGATATATTTGGGTTACTGTCGGGTATATTTGGGATACAGCTGGTATATTACGGATATAGTTGGGTATATTTGGGGTATAGTTGGGTATATTTGGGGTATAGCTGGGTATATCTGGGGTACAGCTGGGTATATTTGGGGTATAGTTGGATATTGATAAAGGCGCTGAGAGGAATCAAAACCACTGTGACCCAGCAGAGTACACTATTGACATCCTAGTCTTTCTGAGGTTTCTCTCAAATAGAAGGAAACGGGAATTGAATAAACACGAGTACATGTTGGCAAAGTCGGCGCTGAAAGTGTCCACCCATGGAGCCTAACAAAGGAACGAGCTCAACTGTACGATAAAAGTACAAGTTCATTCACGTTATATGGTACAAAAACGATCTCGCAGACGAAGTTCAAAATATGGTTCAAATAGAGTAGTGAGTAGTTCAATCACGACTCAAACTCCCCAATCGTCTTTGTCATACGGGACAGTGAAGTAGCCTAGTGGTTAAAGCTTTCACGCGTCACGCTGAAGACCCGATGGGTGCAATGTGGGAAGCCAATATCTGGTGTCCCCGCCGTGATATTGTTGGAATATTGCTAAAAGCGGCGTAAAACCACACTCACTCACTCACTCACTCTTTGTCATGTTATGGCGTCCTCCAAGGTCACAGGTATGACGAGTGTGTGGGCTTTCAATGTGTTGTTCACGAATACCATGCCATTAAGCTCGGGGTGAATAGTTGACCGATCTACGAGTCTAAATATCGACGGTAATGACCACACCTGGTGTGTAAAGTGAAAATGTATATATAATAATAGCTTTAGCATAACTAATTCCTTCTATCGCCATTGTGGAAGTTGAATTGGAGCTACGTATATGACAACACGGCAATCTGGATGTCAGCACAAGCGCGAATGAGCAATGGGTCATGTTTGTTGGAGATCAATTATTTGGAACTGTTGTTAACATTGTAGTCATAAAACTTCACTCACTCACTCATTGTCATGTACGTTTATAGCATCGCGATATACTGGTACTGCCTTGGCTGGTACTCTCAAGGCATGGCAATGTCTGATCACATTCGTCCAGAATTCAGACACATAAGAAAGATCCCTGATATTGGCATTGTGACCTATGAACTATATTTCTTCTCCAGAATCCCAAGGTTTTCACGAGCGACAATGATGAGAAAGAAAAGCCACGTGGCAAATGTGTCACGTTCTTCACGTACTTTGCAGAAAGTACGTCGTTTATGGGAATACCCAAGATATGGGCGTCGCCGCGTCTTGTATTCAAGGTAAGCTGTGGTTTTGAGACAATTTTGAATGGATGGGGGATCAGGTTACTATCGTTATTAACATAAACCACATGTAATAAGAGTGTTTGATATGTTAAACCGGTGGTTGACAGAATGAGCATCGTCGTTAGAGAATGTGGTAACACCAAATCAGCCAGTTAGAAAGGCGGATCCAGATGTGTGTGTGCGCGCATGTGTGCGTGTGCGTGTGCAGAGATTCCCCATCCCCCCTTGTCCTGAAAGTTTATTAAATGACCATTGAAACACTCGTGAAAACGGGTGGAAACGAACTGTGTGCCCCAATGATTTCAAAGGAGGCGTACACCCTAGTCTTGTCCTTGATCCCACCGTGGCCACTCGACGAATGGAAAGAAATCAGTTTTTGAGTATCTCTTTAACTTCATGATCTGAACTGGTACATGTAGTTTTAGTCTTGAAACTAGGGACAATACATCACCATTGCAAATGCAAGTCTCTTTAAAGGGACATGTATTGGTGATTTTTACAAAAGAAATGTGCAGTTTTTATCGCGTGTGTTCAATAATGTATTTGAAACATTATCCATAAACATTATCTGATATATCTGAAGATAAAAGGTGAGTTATAAATGAATTAAACACATTAAAATTTTATTCTTTCAAAAGTAAAATTGAATTGATTAATCAAGGTTTCACAACTGTGCACTGTTTTTAACTGCTGCTACCGTAGATAATATATAATACATTTTATTACTGATCATTGATTTAAATATTGAACGGGGATTCCCAAGGTTATGACCAATGGCGGAAATATGTGTTACTCTCAGAGTTTCAGTTTGCTTTTGGCTTGGAATTATTCTTAGAACCATTATAACCAAACATGTTTTATAAGTACTGGTCAAGTTTACTTTGTTTGTTAATTATTATAAATTGTAATGTGTGTGTGCTACTGTAAAAAATGCAAGAAAAAGAAACAGATGTATATATAAAAACATATGCGTACATAATTATAACTCTTAGCTAAAATCTTTAAAGCAAATTCTTTTATAAATAGGTATCTGGATCTTCGCTTGTTCACTAGTTCTACCGAAGCTAAATGTCCGTTTCCCACACAGGCATACACTGTGGGACAAGGACCATCGGGTTCACAGCCACGTGTGCAAATTACAGAATGTTATAAAACCGTTAATCGATATGTCAAATCGACGCCAAAAAATTAGCCGTACAGATTTGCGTGTCTGAAGCCTTTGATCGTGGGATCGAATCCAAAATCAACCCTGATTATGTTTATAGGTTTGTCAACACCATACCTGCATTACACGTCTATACGGGCTTACCTTCGACAGAAAAACTGTTCAGAGCCACGGAAACGTCGATACCCCCTCCACTGTAACACTGTAAGAGTGCGAAGTTCAAAGTTGATCAGTTTTTCATGTCGTTTGTAAATTATCCTATCAATGCCAAAGAGAAGATAACAGCCACTCGAAAGTTACTTTCTCATGAACATATCTGCGTATTTTCAGATTATGTGGACATTGTTCTTTCTTGGGGCAACGACAGTGATGATCATTCAGCTAGTCGAACTCTTCACGACGTTTTACAAGTACCCCGTTAAGACGTCGGTGAAACTTGGCTTCACTGCACTGCCCTTCCCTGCCGTCACCATCTGCAACATGAACCCTATCAAGCTGTCCAAGGCGAAGTTGCTCAGTTGCGAGCTTCAGAAAACCCTCGAAATCCCCACTGAATACCAGAGTGAAGTACGCCATTATCGAGATATAGTTCCTTATTATAACCTCTGTTGGTACGGGTGGGTAGGGCAAGGGTGTTTCTCTGAGTTGTGTTCGTCAGGCTGCTTGTCTCAGTTTCTTCGCCGTTAGAATTCTTGGTCCAAGGGCTTGATCCAAACCATTCATATCTCACTTCAAGGTTTACTGCCGCAAAATCGGACCTTACATGATGCAGTGTTTAACTTCCTTGCCCTTTCTTAATTACCTTTTGCTTTAAACGTAAGAATTGTCTCTTCTGTACCTTTCCGATCACTCCTCTCTGTCAGTAGCGAACGCTGACTTCAGAAATCTTTTATCTTAATAATAACTGTTCTTATGTTTGGTAAAGAGATTCTGCGATAAGTTACTGATTTGTGCGACCCGTGAAGATCAGGGTTAGAATTGATCTTCAGTAACACATGCTTGACGTAAGAGGCGACTAACGGAATCGGGTGATGAGGCTCGCTGACTTAGTTGACGCGAGCCATCGTATCCCATTTGCGTAGATTGATGCTCATGCTGTTGATCACTGGATTGTATGGTCCAGACTCGATTATTACAGACCGCCGCCATATAGCTGGAATATTGCTGAGTGTGGCGTTAAGCAACCAACCCACCAACCAACTGATTGGTGCTCTCAAGTGATTTTGCTTTAATGACATTAGAAATCTGAATGATGTGTTTAGCTTATGTAGGGGCGTTGAATACATTATCATCATTGTCGTGGTCATTTATTTATTTATTTATTTATTTATTTATCAACTGTGATTACAAAAGACAACGGGTAAAATAAAGGAAGAAACCTCCAGACTACTTTAAGCTTTTTCGATGTCATATATAGAAATATTTATCTATACTTCACGTCCATACACACCAATAGCAGGGTTGCTTCTGTAACAGGAGGGGCGGTGGGGTAGCCTAGTGGGTAAAGCGTTCGCTCGTCACGCCGAAGGCCCGGGTTCGATTCCCCACATGGGTAAAATGTGTGAAGCCCATTTCTGGTGTCCCCCGACGTGATATTGCTGGAATATTGCTAAAAGCGGCGTAAAATCAAACTCACTCACTCACTCACTGTAACGGGACGTCAGTTACACTTCTCCACCAATAGCACTTGCCTATGTGACATGACGTCAGTTACACTTGAGGTTTACAGGTGATGGTCTTATCTTTACGTCTCTGTAGGAATGTGTGAACATCACCAACACCGTGGACTTGAGCGAGTTCACGGAGACGGAATACGTGTGTGACGAGAGTGGTTGTTACGAAGAGGAGGCAGGCGGTCTGGACACCTTCTATGTGAGGAGGGAGCTCATTGCCAACTATCTGGCAGCAGAATACCCGTGAGAAACAAAACATTCATGTCTTACTTTTGCACCTTACTACTCAAAAGACGTTAAGGAATACTCCAATCATTCACGTTGCTATGGTTATACTATAGATTTTACAGATTAACTTTTGCAAAGGAAAGAAGGCCTCCCTAACTCTGATTTTATGTGTATTTCTTAGACTTGTAAAAGCAATGAAAATATGGCGGCCGTCTTGAAAATTGGTGCCAAAATGACCTAAGTTGGACACGTGGGATGTCCATCGAATGATTTCATGGACATAAGGCTATAACGGAAATTAGTTGCTCGATTTGGTAGAGAAACATAAAGATCTGTCTCGTGGGTTATGTGACGGATTAACACACGTAGGTAAAAAATCGGGTGATGTTTCTTCTTTTTGGTTTGTATACATGACCTTGTGATCGCAGTATTGTCTGTAATTGGCATCTTAGCAGATAAAGTGATTTCCCTGCCAGTTTGATCCCATTTAAGCACAAAGGCACTGCCATATCATGTCATCTGGATAGAGCAGCATAGTTTGGAGGACTTCGTGGGATGACTTATGATAGTTACGATATTCTGGTAACCATTTACAGCGATATTCTGGTAACCTCAACTTATTCCTTTTAGCGAGGTTCGTAAAGACGTTGGCCATCACCTTGAATCTATGCTGATTGAGTGCTCCCTCAATGGACGAAGCTGCGATGCCAGGTAGGCAAAGACGTTATATGTGAATATATATGTAATGACAATAGAATAGGCTATAGTACTCGATAACTCCCGAATTTCTATTAGCATTGTGTATATTAAGACATTGTCGCGCCCTAACAAGGGTCGAGTTTTAATCCGTGAAGGATTAGCATTTCCACAATTTGAGGTTTCAATTGAGTTGTTATTTCGCTGGAGCGATGCAGTTTATTATCTCCGGAAATTATGTATTTAACTGAATGAGTGAGTGAGTGATTGTGGTTTTATGCCGCTTTGAGTGAGTGAGTGAGTGAGTGAATTGAGTTTTACGCCGCACTCAGCAATATTCCAGCTATATGGCGGCGGTTTGTAAATAATCGAGTCTGGATCAGGCAATCCAGTGATCAACAGCATGAGCATCGATCTGCGCAATTGGGAACCGATGACATGTGTCAACCAAGTCAGCGAGTCTGACCATCCGATCCCGTTAGTCGCCTCTTACGACAAGCATGGGTTACTGAAGGCCAATATTCTAACCCGGGGACGTTCACGGGTCTCCGCTTTGAGCAATACTCCAGCAATATCGCAACGAGGTATTCATATAAACAAGTATGCTTGCCTTTGTCCAGAAAATATGCCACAAATACAAACATAATATTGTGGGTAATCCGATATACCTGACACAGAACATGGAGATTTTACTGAAGCAGAATCCAGTTAATGACTGGTGCCTTGGATATTGTAATCATCTTTAAGATGCCTCAAACGTTTCTTACCAGCAAGTTCACGACGTTTCTGTCCAATGATCTTGGGAACTGCTTCACACTCAGGAGCAAAGGGCTACAGGCCACGAAAAGCGGACCTGAATCAGGTAAGGAGCAGGGCCTAGATTTTCGAAGCTCTCATAGCGCTAAGTTAGTCGTAAGTTAATGTTAATGAAAATCGAAATGTTCGAAAATCAAAGCCCAGGGAGATAATTACGCGGGTGCGATAACTACAAACCACGTGACCGTCCCATGTCCATGTGAGACATCAGGTGTTTCATGGATAAGATCTTGTGAGTGAATGAGTTTGGTTTTACGCCACTTTAAGCAATATTCCAGCAATATCACGTCCGGGGACACCAGAACACCACACATTGTACCCATGTAGGGAATAGAACCCGGGTCTTCGGCGTGACAAGCGAACGCGCTAACCACTAGGCTATCCTACAGCCCCTCTAACTGAAACAACCTTGACCAGCTATCAAGTGCTTGGTTTCATTCAAGAGAGACAACTCCGTTAATCCTTTTTCATTAGTTTGTGAAGAGTTATCCCCCTTTGTTTACTTGCTAGCAGACGACATTTTCAGTGATCCTCAGTATGGATGATTTAGAGAAGAGGAAGTTGATTTTAGAGTATTATAACAAGGACATCAGATCAGCTAAAGTGATTTCAAGTAGAACAGGCATCCCTTTGTCCACTGTTTATCGTGTTTTGAAAAATATTGCAAATGGATATGGCATTGAGCACCAGGGAGGCGCAGGTAGGCCCAGAAAATTGACTGTCGGTGACAGGAGGCGGCTTGGTATTCTTGTTTCTAAAAACAAACTGAAAGAGTTTAGAAACTTAAGGCTGGATATGATTGATAGAGGAACTGTGGCTGTCTGTAAGGAGACAATTAGAACTGAGCTACATGCAATGGTTGGCAGAAAAGTCGAAGAAATCCATCACCGATCATGAAATCTGAACAAAAGGAGCGAAGGTTGAACTGGTGCTTACAGCATAGAAATTTTAACTGGGACAATGTGATTTTCTCAGATGAAAGTTCTGTGTGTCTGTTTCTTAATACACTGAAATTCTGGACCAAACAAACTAAAAAGCATTTGTATCAGCGCCCAAAGTACAGTCCGAAAATTAAGGTGTGGGGTGGCATATCTGTGTTAGGGGCAACACCCCTCTGTGTATTTGAAGGGAATCTGAACAGTGAGCGGTACACAGATATTCTCGAGGGACATTTCCTTCCATCTGCTCACGTGTTATGGACATTTTTGGATTTTCCAGCAGGACAACGACCCAAAACATCGTTCAAAGCATTCACAGGCCTGGTTTCGGACCCAAAATATGACGTTATTAGATTGGCCAAGCTATAGCCCTGACCTAAAGCCAATAGAAAATGTTTGGGAACTTATGAAGGAAAGTGTCAATAAGAAAAATCTGACAAATATTGCTGAAATGAAAGAAGAGGTGGTCCGATATTGGGACAGCATGGACCACGACTTTCTAACTTCTTTGATCAGTAGTATGCCCCGCTGCATTGAAGCCTGCATTGCTGCCAATGGTGCCTTGACAAAATACTAACTGTTCACCTGTCTTTGAATGTGGAGTTATGTTCTGCTAATATTCACATTGAATACGTGAGTAATGAGTGAAAAATTTTTTTTTTTTACAATCTTTAACTTCTCAATAATTTCTGGTTGTACTGTAATTATATTGTACTGAGTATATAATTCGTGTTAGAATATATCCGATGCCTACCTCTAAGGAAAAACCAACAAACGGCTTTATCAACTTGGGTGATATTTGATTGATTCCTGTTTCTTCCAACGTCCATTAATGTGTAGCAGTCAGTTCATTGTTTGAAACATTTAAGCTTTACACTGACTGATTTGAGCAGCAATTAGCTTGTGTTTTCTTTCTTTAATGGCTGTATTAAACCAAGAAAAACCAAAATACGTTTGACCACATCAGGCAAAATTACAATATTTACAACCTTCCTGGCTGTTGTATCTACCTAAACAGTCATTAAACATATGCCTGGTTCCATGTTTGTATTCAGCTCGACCTGTATCAGTGATAACACTGCACGGCCCTTAAGCATGCTGGTATATTGAGTGACAGATAATTACTTCTTTGTAGAACGTCAGTGCATGTACTTTCCATAGAAAGCTGCGATAGTTTTGCCGTTTCGATAGTTCTAATAACAAAACAAAAGGCTGTCATACATTATTTTTCGTTTTTTAACGCACGTCCCTGTTTGAACAATTTTGAACAAATGGACGAATTGTTATTTTTATGTTACATTACCTTGAACCAACATGTATCAATTAATGTGCACTGAAATAATAAGATAGAACTATTTTTTTAATTGCAAGTAGAGATTATTTTACAGAGGGATGTTTAAGTCAGAGAACACACACCGTCGGGCCTCTATTTCTGAAGGGAGAATGGGTGGTTCAGTTGTTCAGGGTTCGTATTTCGCTGTGTAGAGTTATGTCCCTTGGGCTCACCAGACACCTATGATTGTGGAATCGAGTTCCGGTTTGCCTCTTAGTCGTTTATTTGGGGCGGTGGGGTAGCCTAGTAGTTTAAGCGTTCGCTCGCCACGCGTACGACCCGGGTTCTATTCCCCAAATGAGTACAATGTATGACACCATTTCTGGTGTCCCCCGTCGTGATATTGATGGAATATTGCTAAAAGCGGTGTAAAACCTCACTCACTCACTACTCGTTTATTTCACCAACTTGGTCAAAGTCTGAGTGCTAAGATGACTTCGGGCTTTTTAAAGAGGCGTTAAACTCAACTAACTCACTGTAATTCATATACTTAGACAGTTACTTGTTCCTTTAATGAAGGCGGTGGGGTAGCCTAGTGGTTAAAGCGTTCGCTCGTCACGCCGAAGACCCGGGTTCGATTCCCCACATGGGCACAATGTGTGAAGCCCATTTCTGGTGTCCCCAACCGTGATATTGTTCGTTACACGTTCTTTATTCTGATTTGCTTGATAGCACGTCATAATGATAATATGGCCTCTTATATAACGCAGGGACATGCTCTAAGCGCATACAACATGGTGGACATTATTACCCCGGATAACCCAAGCTACCTGTGAGGCGCTAGGAGGTTAACAGTCATATGACTTATCCCAACGGTTACCCATTTTCTGCTGGGTGAACAATTTTAGCAATTTTGAACACACCGTTTGCCTGAGGTGAGACTTCGTTGTGTGGCAGGACTGAAGTCCTAGAAACTCTCAGATGCCAAACACGGTCACCCATCCAAGTCTTCTCCGTGACCGACGTTGCTTAACGTCACCTGGTCTGGTCAAATATTTACAGTGAGTGAATGAATATAGTTTTAAGCCGCTTTTAGCAATATCACGGTAGGGGACACCAGAAATGGGCTTCACACATTGTACCAATGTTGGAAATCGAACCCGGGTCTTCGGCGTGACGAGCGAACACTTTAACCACTAGGCTACCCCACCGCCCCCGAATATGTACAGACGGCACACTCATAACTGACATGTTGCCGGAAAACCTAATAATTTGGATCATGATAATATATGTTTTTCCGGTAATGTTTGTGGATGTTTCTACCAGGATTATCAATGGTCATCAATCTTGAATCCGAGGAATTTATCGAAACTTTCAAGACGGGGTACGGCCTGAGGGTGGTGATACACGACAACGGGACACGCCCCTTTCCCGGGTCAGAAGGCTTCACGGTCTCAGCGGGTTCTGAGACAAGTATTGCCCTGAAACTGGTACGTCGTGTATACTTCCTGTACATGCTCGACACCCACTATCCCCTCCATTTTGTCTGTCTTCAACCCCATCTTTGCCTGTATCAATTGTTTGATCAGCTTTCTAGACGTTGGTGAGTCAAAAATTAAACTTACAAACGTGTCGATGTCGATTCTTACTTTTAACTTCGATGTATTTATAAACTGCATAAATTCACTTACAACTCTGTGCCTATGTCGGAAGCACAGGGGCGTGTCACGCTTAGAAACAGCGTTAGAAAGACATATAGGTATATAGACCCTACCCTAGTACTATATAAAAGGAAAGGGATGTAACGACGGAACCACCCCCTCCTCAATCTAAGTTAGATTTCACCACGTAAACTATCTTTAAGGCCCCGTCGAGGCCTACGGATCAAAAGCGAGATGCTTTCCCTACAAAATGAGCTATAAATGGTCACAATCGGATCATTATTTCAAAAGTTATACGCCACGACTCACCGAAAACAGCTACCTCCGCAATTCCAAGCCAAAATCATGGATCACCCAAGACAGCGAAAACTCACCTTTTAAATTCGTTTATTAATTCCATCCACGTTGACAGCACCTATGTAGGGCTAGGTTCGATCGGCAGCGGCATTCCACGGGTCTAAAAACTTATTGCAACATCTACAAATCATTTCCTCGACAGTAAGCAGGCATTTTCTCCAAAACCATCGGCAATCATACTCACTTGTCGGCCATAGATGGCCTTGACATTTAACGGGGCCTTAAAAATAGTTTACGTGGTGAAATCTAACTTAGATTGAGGAGGGGTTGGTTCCGTCGTTACATCCCTTTCCTTTTATATAGTACTAGGGTAGGGTCTATATACCTATATATCTTTCTAACGCTGTTTCTAAGCATGACACGCCCCTGTGGTCGGAAGTACAGTCCTTTCATTGGAATATCTTTTTGTGCGTATGTGTTAAGTGAATATACTTTGAGTGTTTGCGCAGAGGACTTACTGTGCAAGATAATGGCGGAGTATTCCGTCATACCTCAAGTCATAAGCACAACGGTCCCTTTAACATCCTTAATACCAGGGTATGCATAATCCCGAGACATGTAAAGACTGCTTTGTTTCCTGGTGACAATAGGTAACGATTCAACGACTCGGGGGGGAGATTACGGCAAATGTAACGACAGCCTGATTTTCAAGAAGAAGTTCGGTGTGGCTTACACAGAGAGGGTGAGTACAAGCCTATATATATGTCAACAGCCGAGGCGAAGGATGTGTACACAATCTGTCTGTGTAAGAGTTCTATCGTTTTATTGTATCACGTGATAGTGTGTGAATTTGGTATATATACTCTCCAAAAAAAAGAAACGCATCATGAAAATAGCAATTTCATGTAGCAATGAATTAAAACGTGATTCATTTTACAAAAGGTTTTGCTCTGTTTAGGAGTCCTATGGTGTTTATGTTTTGAAACATCACAACAAAACGCACCATCCGTAAAATACCCGTATTGCCTGCAATATGGTTGACTATTTAGACGCTCCATGAATTATACACATAGAAAAAAGTATCGCAACACCACGCATTTTTTCATAGTATGGTATAGTTATGTGTTATAAATTACCACTAACCATAGCAAAGAAACTTCCCTAAAGCTGAATATAATTTACAAATAGGATAAACTGACCCTCAAGGAATGAATAAATAGCAAATCTTTAGAAACGCAAATAGAACGAAAATCTGTAGTCTATTCAGAGAAGCCAACACGACACAAACTGACTCATTTTGAAGTGCTGATAACTATGGTCGTGTGGCGTTAACATGTGCGGCTATTTTCAAGAATCTGGCATACAATCCTCATGAAATCACCCAAGTATCCATGACCGGGCACAATGTCTATTTCAACCTCCACCAACAGGAATAACATCCCTGGCCCTCCAGCCCATTGAATCTTACGATGATGTATTGCGTTCCATTACTTGAAGATATTGAACTGGAGGATCTCTGTGGCGTTTCCTGCGAGCCATAATGTCCCAATCATGCTCTGGGATTGAGAGCTGGCGGGCCAAGGAAGAGTTGCGACCACCTCTTGACGTAAGAAATCACTAAAGGTACGTGTACGATGTGGCCTACCATTGTCATACACGAATTCTGACCTTGCGTTCAGAGGATGGTCATCAATATGTGGTACAACGACCCTGCCTAGGATGTCAGTGATGTCTCGTTGTCTATTCAGCCTTTTTCTGATCGTCAAAAGGCCAGGTTTACAGTGAAATGAGAGGCATTCCTACACCAACAATAAACCCCCGCAAAAAGGTGCCTGCTCCAAGATATTAATACAGTGTTTCCGAGGCACCAAACACGACTCATCCATCAGTCATTAACAAAGAAATGGACTTTCGTACGACCAGTGGACCCTTCCCCCTGGCGTCAAATTCCAGCGATATCGAGCTCGAAACCCATGGCGACCATCTTGAAAAAACGCGGCCATCCTGGAGTTTTGAATGGCCAACGTTATTTTCTGAACAGGGAGCCCATGGTGAGCAATCATGCCAAATTTGGTGCTTGTATTACAAAGTGAACGATTCGGCCTATTTTGGTCTGTGTTCCGCCCTACTAAACCACTGCCGCTTTGTGCTCTGGGGATAACCCGGATGGACCAAGGTGACCTCGGAACGTTCTGTTGGACAAACAACGCGGACGCTACTCTGTTTTCAACTTCCAACTCGACATAACAGATGAAATCTTATGATTCTGAGAAGGGCTGTATCCTCCCCATGAGTGGTCTCCCGCGGTCGACCTGAACGCTGAAACTTGATATATAAAACGAAATATCTCCTTAATCGCAGCACGTGGATATGTAAAATCAGTGTATGGTGCACCCGGAGGGTCTAAATAATCATACGAACAAACAATAACAATATATAAGGGGTGAAAATCATAGGTGTTGCGATACTTTGTCACAATATTTTTATTGTTATTGATAGTTATCTTTTTGTTAAGAGAGAATATTTTTAACACGTAATTTTTAATTTAAATAGTGACTTGTAGCCACCCTAAAGTATGTTTGTTTACTGGTGTTAAATGTTGTTATTTACAAGGCGTGTCGGGAGTTTTGTCAACGAAATCTGGTGATAGATATATGCAAGTGTCGACCAGAGGACGAGAGTCAACTCAACAGCTCTGTCAAGATCTGCAACACCAACAAAGGTTAGTCGTCCAGAAATAGTTAAGACCTCTGCCAAGACCTGCACCACTAACACAGGAATAAGTTTAGGGTTTACAGAAATGTCGTCAATACGTCTATCAAGACCTGCACTACTATCACAGAAATAAGTTTAGGGTTTACAGAAGTGTCGTCAATACGTCTATCAAGACATGCATCACTAACACAGGAATACGTTTAGGGTATGCACATAGTTTTCACATTACATCAAACCGAACTTCTTTCTACGTGACATGGGTGCAATATGTGAAGCTCATTTCTGGTATGCTCCGCCGTGACCTTGCTGGAATATTTCTAAAAGCGGCGTAAAAACCCAACACACACACACACACACACACACACACTTACTCTTTCTATGTAGCGATAATATTGCTTATTCTTTTGCACTGAAGTTCTATATAATAAATATGATCTATTTAGACCAATGGTTCTGTTAATACACGATCAGATAATTTCTAGATATCACCAACAATCAAAATGATTATAAGAAAGAAAGTAAGATACTTTATTACTGGCAACAGATTCATAACATATGATACGACATTTCGGTATAGATGCATATACCGTTGTCAAGCAAGAGTGATTATAATAAAACTACTGTCTAAGCTATACACTACCCTCTTCAGAGTGGAACTGTCAGGACCGAGTACAGAACAAGTATGTGGTGGACAGTGGCAAGGGGGTGGATACCTGCAAGTGCGGCACCCCTTGTGTGTGAGTACGCTCTTGGTGATTTATTTTCAACAGCATTATGTGTCAAGGCTCTTTTGTGTTTGTTTGTTGATGTAACTTTAAGTTTCATTCAGCATGTGCATGTGTCTTTTTGGTAGACGCCGCTTTTAACGGTACTCCAGTTATGTTGAGATGTGATTCAATTGAAAAAAAAAAGATTTTACATTGATGTAAGGCTCACAATTTCAAAGTTCAAGCGGCACCATTTAAATTGAAATTTAAAACTCTAATTTAATAACTGTTATATCCAATATCCAATGTCCATTTTGTAATCTGTCTCAAGAAGATGAGTACCATGTATTACTCATATGCCCTCAATATTTAGAAATAAGAGAAAATTATCTGCCTTAGTTTTTCTACAACCAACCGTCTAGACATAAATTCCGTATGCTACTTCGCACAGAAATGTTGAATTATTGTATAAGGTAGAGCTTGTGTTATAAAGATCTAAAGACTAAAGATCTGTTGTCTGTCTGTCTGAAAAAGATTTTTTTTGTATGAGATTGTGGGCACAGACATATATGCTATGACGTTTTGTCATATACACTTTCTCTGCCTCTTCCCTCACTTCTGGTTCGTCCTTCCCTGTCTTCTCTGCCCTGCCCCCCTCTCTTTCTCGCCCTTTCTCCTGCTGCAACCACAGTACTGCTAGAACCAGTACTGCTCTCTGTCTCCACCCCCTCTCTCTCTCCTCTCTTTGTGTATCTCTCTCTCTCTTTATCTCTCTCGCCCTCTCTCTCCATCTCTCGCCCTATCTCTATCTCTCACTCTCAATCCAGACAGAGCACTGAATTGTCTGGTCCAAGCAACCATGTAAAGATTGCCGCCATTTGGCTAGACGTCTCGGGTATGGATTTATACAGAATAAAAGATTAGTCGTTTCGAAACATACGCATGTGTTTGTGTTGCAGAGAGAAGGTATATCAAACAACCTTCTCATCCAGACAGTGGCCCGTGCTCAGACACATTGTACGTATATGCAAATACATTCGTTCCTTTATGCTTGACTTTACATCTAATTACATGGCATCATACCTGTCATTAAAACCGACAAAATTCTTGCCGTATTCGTGTGAAATATCTACCAAAAGTCATGAACATGTTTTAATGAATCACTATTTTATAAATATGATACCAGGTATCCTGCCGACCAGGGACACTGATCACAAACACATGCATAAGCGGGGCAATTGTTCATTTAAACTGTTTCTCAAATTTCAAAACGTCCCCCTCTACTCAAAGGTATTTTAAAGCTTACCTGAGGTTTTCAATGTTACAACCCAATGAAACAATTGTTGATAACAGTAAATGCGGATCGGTCCCACCCAGTAGTTTATAACAGTAACAGTAAATATGACCTTGTCCTACCCATGAGTTGATCACTGTCTTGATAGCAGTAAATGTGACATTGTCCTACCCAGTAGTTGATCACTTGCTTGATTACCCAGTATTTGATCTCCTGTTTGATAACAGTCAATGTGACATTGTCCTACCCAGGAGTTGATCACTTGTTTGATAACAGTAAATGTGACATTGTCCTACCCAGGAGTTGATAACTTGTTTGATACCAGTAAATGTGACATTGTCCTATCCAGTAGTTGATCACTTGTTTGATAACAGTAAATGTGGCATTGTCCTACCCAGGAGTTGATCACTTGTTTGATAACAGTAAATGTGGCATTGTCCTACCCAGGAGTTGATCACTTGTTTGATAACAGTGTGATTGTCCTACTTGATTTGTTTGATAACAGTAAATGTGACATTGTCCCCAGGAGTTGATAACTTGTTTGATAACAGTAAATGTGACATTGTCGTACCCAGAGTTGATCACTTGTTTGATAACAGTAAATGTGACATTGTCCTACCCAGGAGTTGATCACTTGTTTGATAACAGTAAATGTGACATTGTCCTACCCAGGAGTTGATCACTTGTTTGATAACAGTAAATGTGACATTGTCCTACCCAGGAGTTGATCACTTGTTTGATAACAGTAAATGTGACATTGTCCTACCCAGGAGTTGATCACTTGTTTGATAACAGTAAATGTGACATTGTCCTTACCCAGTATTGATCACTTGTTTGATAACAGTAAATGTGACATTGTCCTACCCAGTAGTTGATAACTTGTTTGATAACAGTAAATGTGACATTGTCCTACCCAGGAGTTGATCACTTGTTTGATAACAGTAAATGTGACATTGTCCTACCCAGGAGTTGATCACTTGTTTGATAACAGTAAATGTGACATTGTCCTACCCAGGAGTTGATCACTTGTTTGATAACAGTAAATGCGACATTGTCCTACCCAGGAGTTGATCACTTGTTTGATAACAGTAAATGTGACATTGTCCTACCCAGGAGTTGATCACTTGTTTGATAACAGTAAATGTGACATTGTCCTACCCAGGAGTTGATCACTTGTTTGATAACAGTAAATGAAATGTGACATTGTCCTACCCAGGAGTTGATCACTTGTTTGATAACAGTAAATGTGACATTGTCCTACCCAGGAGTTGATCTTTGTTTGATAACAGTAAATGTGACATTGTCCTACCCAGGAGTTGATCACTTGTTTGATAACAGTAAATGTGACATTGTCCTACCCAGGAGTTGATAACTTGTTTGATAACAGTAAATGTGACATTGTCCTACCCAGGAGTTGATCACTTGTTTAATAACAGTAAATGTGAACATGTCTGAGCAATTTGTTGATTACATTTACTTGATACATTTAACAATATTACGTACCTGTACATGTTGTTGACCCTGAGTCGTCGTAATGATGCAGTGTCATATTCCTATGGCTGAACCAGTGTGCTTTGTTTACTCGTTTAGCGGGCGTTAGAACAGCAAGCATGTAAGATCGAACCTGAAAGTCCCAAGTGTTCCTACAGCAGCTACGACTTTGAAAACGTCGACATAAGAACGTGAGTAACATACTTGTAGACTGAAGATTTGAAATCAGTATTTTTCGAAACAATTTAAAATAGGGCCGTTGAGTGAAGGGGTGTTGACACTAATCCGAATCATAAATATATCGGGGATACGTGGTGGTCGGGATACGGCCCCCTGACATACCCCTAAACCTAACCCAAACCTGGCTGTAGAATGTAATCAGACTTTAGTGTTCAGTTTAATTCTCGTCGGTAGTATTTCAGTCATATTTTGACTGGTGAGAATCGTTTCACACATGACGGGAAACGAACCCGGGTCTTCGGCGTGACGAGCGATCGCTTTAACCACTAGGCTACCCCACCACCCATAGTTTTATATAGAGTATATCAGCAGCATCATGACGATGAGAATGTATTTTCTGTTTCAGATCGTCTTTCTTAAAACTGAAGGTTTATTTCCACAGCTTGAATTTTGAAAGTGTAAAAGAAGAGCCCTTTTATGACGTGAGTTATTGATGAAACGTAGAACGTTTTAACTGTCATATCCATGTATTGTCGAACCAAATATAGAATTCCAGATTGTAACTTGTGTATGTCTCACTTTTTATCATATTGACATTACTGTTTTATTATATCAGTGCAGAAAAGGCAAAATATGCTGTGTCCTTTGAGCAATCACATCGTGGATGGAAAATACAATTAATTTGGTTTTTGTTGTTGTTGTATTCGAATTGTTTCTTCGATACTCTAACACTACTGTTAACAACATTCAAACTATATCAGGGGGTGGGTCACCAGCAATGGACTTAAAGCACTTTACCCTGTGGGGAATAAAAGAACACTCAGGCCTTCTCTGTGATGGTGTGACAAGCGGAATGATTTAACCACTTTGGGCCAATTCACGCCTCTTTGAAACAGGCATGTATGTAGTCTTTGAGATAGGTGCAAATAAGCAATACAGTACAATCGATAGCAGGGCATGTTACATATATCTTCCTGCAGTAGGGTAGCTAACAAAATAGGGCGAATTTGGACAGGACAAAATGGTGAGGGGTAAAATTTGGATATCAAGACACGATTAGCAGATGGTATAGTTAAATGAGTGCAGTGAAGCATGAAACTAGTGTGTGATTCACTCGTGTGAAATCCATCAGTACGGGTACTGAGATAACAGACTGAGTGAGTGAGTTTAATTTTACGCCACTTTTAGCAACATACCAGCAACAACACTGCGAGGGACTCCAGAAATCGGTTTCATTGTATTGGAATCGAACCCGAGGTATTCGACGTGACGAGGAAACGCTTTACCCAGTAGGCTACCCCATCGCCCCTGTATGGAGATGACAAACCTGATGACATAATATGAGCACATCAGCAGTCAAACCCACTAGCATAGGTTTCTTGTACGTCAAAGGGGTGTAACTCTTGCTCAATGACAGCTAATGGACGGAAATTATAAGCAGTTTAACCTTCCATCATAATTTTTGTTCCAGACTGAGCGCTTCTTGTCTGATATTGGTGGAACGATGGGTCTGTGGATTGGTGCATCTGTTCTCAGTTTGGCCGAGTTCCTGGAAATCCTCTTCGAGCTGATCTTCTGGTGCTTCTGTCCAAGGTCAAAGTAACCAGGAACACCCATTCCAAGGCTGGCACATACATGTGGCACCAGGACGTTGTTGGGAGGAACTGTTTCTTGTTCTGCTTAGGACTATGGCTGTGACGGGTCTTTTCCGTATTTAATATGTGGGCATTTTGTACGTGTAACAGAAATGTTATGGGCATTGTGATATACTCTGTATATATACTCCAGGATTAAATGTTGATTCTGTTTGTTGGTTGTAGTAGTATTTTACACAATTACACTGAACAGTTTTGTTTTCGCAAGGAAAATATATATGTATAATGTTCCATAGCTTTAAAGTAAGCTTATTACAGGACTATAAAGGGTAGGTGTGGACTGGGTGAGTGAGTTGGGTGTTACGCCGCTTTTAGCAATATTCCAGCAATATAACGGCGGGGGACACCAGAAATGGGCTCCACACATTGTACCCTTCGACGCTTTAACCACTTGGCTACCCCACCGCCCCGGGTGTAGAAATGAGATTTTGTGTATAGTCGTTTTTTCAGTACTCATGCATGGTATCCTGATAAACAGTCCGTCGATCCCCTATAAGAGATTTCCATCAATCAAAAGACAAGCACATTATTTAAATATTTAACACTTATAAAATTCTAATGTAGAATGGCTGAGTGAGTGAGTGAATGAGTTGAGTTTAACTCCGCTTTGAACAACTGAATGTGTCAGGAAAGCCCTTAGTTATAGACGTAAGCCCACAAGCACTGGCATAACATTTCTAAACCTAGAAACATAATCGAGGCAACCTCAAACGGTTGTGGTGTGTCTAAGGGAGTCAACTCTGCCTTTGGGGTGAGTGAACGAGTGTTGTTTTACGCCGCTTTTAGCAATATTCCGATGTCCTCCGCCGTGATATCGCTGGAATATTGCTAAAAGCGGCGTAAAACCATACTCAGTCAGTCTGTCAACGCAAATGGTGGTCTCACCCTGATGTGACATTGTTATACCCCCCCTTTTCGACCATACATCATATCGTTATTTCTAATAACTAACACCTCTACAAATGAATTAATTCCTTTTTGCAGATATCATTGCGTGTTATACCTTGTATGTTGAAAGGACATTTAGCTGTGTTTTAAGATGATTTGAAAGTAAATGAATATAAATGAGCCACGTGAAGATCCGGGTTAGAATTGATCTTCAGTAGCCCATGCTTGTCGTAAGAGGCGACTAACGGAATCGGGTGGTCAGGTTAGCTGACTTGGTTGATATATGTCATCGTATCCCAGTTGATTAGATCTATGCTGTTGATCAATGGATTGTCTGGTTCAGACTGGATTATTTACAGACCGCCTTCATATAGCTGGAATTTTGCTGAGTGCGGCTTAAAACTAAACTCACTCATGAATGAATGACACGACATATCTTCATCTTGCCACATTCGGGCATCTCTGCACGTCATTTAGCATTCGCATGGCATAAGCAGCAGGATCTCCTGGTCTACTCACACGAGCATCAGCATCACAGCATGGGAAATATCAGGGTTACATCCTACCTGTCAGGTTGAGTGAGGTCAGACGGTGTTTTATGTTGTGTTCCATCTTATTGCTCGTAAGAAGAGCCGTGAAACCCTCCCCCCTCCGTGATTGAATATACCCGGGATCGGATGGTCAGGCTCGATGACTTGGTTGACACATGTCATCGTAACCCAACTACGTAGATCGATTCTCATGCTGGGTTGTCTGGTCCAGACACGATCGATTATTTCCAGACCGCCGTCATATAGCTGGAATATTGCTGAGTGCGGCGTTAAACAACCACCAACCAACCGTGACTGAATATCCACAGCAATATTAATCCATGCTAAGGCCAACCTTAGCCAAGATGATCCAATTAATTTCCAAACCTCAACATAGGCTTACGACGGTCGTAGCGCAAAGTTAGTTTCTAACATAATTGCATGTAATCGCCTCAAAATTGTGTCATCATGCATCGTAATGCCAATCATTTGTCAGGCCCAGATTTGAACATTTACAGACAACCATGACATACCAGGGGTACTATTTGACACTTCGTCGTACCACGTATCTTTACAAGATGGTACTTTATGTCACCCAGCCTGCTGCTCGACACTAAGGAAATAATAAGATCTGCTCGGCACTGAGTCAGGTTGAGTTTGAGTTAAAAGGCAGCGTAGTATCTCTGCTGGTCAGGCTAAGGCAAGACGAGCTCAGACAAATTAGTACTCTTCAGCAACCCATACTTGTCGTAAGAGGCGACTAACCGGGTCGGGTGGTCAGGCTCGCTGACTTGGTTGACACATGTCACCGTATCCCAGTTGCGTAGACAGATGCTCATGATGTCGATCACTGGATTGTCTGGTCCAGACTCGATTATTTACAGATCGCAGATAGGTGACGAGAAAATATGTATGAAAACATACCTGGTTCAGAGATCATTTGATCTTTAAGTTTGTTCTACCGCTGTTTCAAGGAAAACAGGTGCAACAATACCGTTTCAATTTAATGGAAACCAATGGTACACATAACATATGCAGAAAACAACACTGTGAATGACTGTCACCCGTGAGGGTCCTCATCCGGACATTTTTTCACCCGGGACACTGACACCAGTATCTACTCCATCGTGCGTCAATGACTTCACTCCTCTATCAAGGGTACGGCTTCTGGTACGTTTACCCAAGCGGTTCCAGCCCGATCATTACGCTAAGGTAGTATTACCACCTTATATATGTATATACTGGTGGTATAACCTCAGTTCGTAGCTGTAGCCCAGTCCTGGATTGATCAATGGGGGTAATCAGTGGATGGGTATTGTTTCGTCGCTTTTAACACAATTCGACAAATATCAGGAGGGGGACACAAGACACGAGCCTGGGAATCAACCCGGCTCCTTGGCAATACGCACAATATCACTAGCCCCGTTCCACGAAACGTTGTTGACTTTCCTCACATGGTTTTCATATTTGTTTTGTCTAAAACACATCAACAGCAACAGCAACAGCATTTGCAAACATCAAACCATTTGACATCGGAATTGGTTCCCGGTTACTTTGACTTTGGACAGAAGCACCAGAAAAGCACCTCGAGCAGGATTTCCAGAAACTCGGCCAGACTGAGAATAGATGCACCAGTCCAGAGACCCATGGTACCTCCGATATCGGACAGGAAGCGCTCAGTCTGGAACAGAACAGGTGTTAATTGTTTTGTTATACGATGTGGAAACCAAGGTTCACATTAAATCTCTGTCGCCTTCGTCCATTCCCCCTCTCTTTCGTTTTATCTCTCCTGCTTCTTCCTCATCCCGTTCTCTCCGCCCTCACCTCTCCTCTCTTCTTATTCGTTCTCAACGGGGAAGACCCCGTCCTCTCCTCCGTCTCCTCTCTGTTCCGCTCCGCCCTCACTTCCGTCTTTTCACCAGTCCTCGTGTCCATTTGCTCTCTCTCTCTCGGTCATTCACCATCTACTCACTTACTCTCTCACACAAACCCATACACGTATAAACTAAACATTCTAAAAGAACATGCTAACACACACATGCATAAACGCGCACGCGCACGCGCACGCGCACACACAAACAAAACGGGAGTACGGCCTGAGGGTGGTGATACACGACAACGGAACACGCCCCTTTCCCGGGTCTGAAGGTTTCACGGTCTCCGCCGGTTCTGAAATAAGTATTGCGATGAAACTGGCACGACGTTGGCATGAACCCTTCCCCTGCCCCTCCTCGCACTTTTGGTTCGACATCATCACTGTCCAAACACCGTCCTTCCACCCTCTCTCTCTCTTTCTCTCTCTCTTTCTCCTTCTCTCGTTCTCTCTCCCATAATGCTAATCAAATCGTCACTTTTGTACTTACATCATAAAACGGTTCTTCCTTTATGCTTTCAAAGTTCAAGCTGTTGAAATACACCTTCAGCTTTAAAAAAGATGTTCTGAAAATGAAGACGACATAAGCATGATATGTTAAACATATTCATCTTTCAAATAATCACGTTTAGAATCTTCAATATGTATGTACAAAGTACGAAAACAGGAACAGGGATACGTATTGATAAGTGTCGACAAATACGCTGTTATTGCCCTCAGAGCCAGGAGGGCAGGCGGCACACTTCTTTGAGTGGCATGTTTAGAAGTTGGAGAATCAGATAAGGACAAACTTTATGGATGAACAACTTCTTTATTCGGAAGATGCGACATTTTGATACAGATTCTTGTATCGTTGTCTAGCAAGTATGCACAATTCACTATGCAGAGTGGCGTCCCTTGGCTGTGCCAGGAACCTGTTATCGGGGCTGTATGATTGTGTTTGCGATTGTGTGAGTGTGTGTGTGACTGTGCGTGTGATTTGCGTGTGTGTGTGTGCGTGCGTGCGTGCGCGTGCGTGCGTGTGCGTGTGCTCTTGTCCTGGAGCTTATTTGATTTCAAATCGACGGACAAAGTTACTCACGTCCTCAGTTCGATATTTTCAAAGTCATAGGCTGAGTAGTTGCACTTCGGGCTAAACTCGTCAATCAAACATGTTTGTTGTTCTAACGTACGCTGTTGAATGAGAAGAAGAAATATCATTAAGTTTTAAGTGACTGAATATAGAATAAACGCCGCTCTTTGCAAGATCCCAACAATGTCATGACGGGCAACACCAGTAATGGGTTTCGCACTCTGTGCTTGTGTTCGGAATCGAACCAAAGCCGTTGGCTTGATAAGCAAATGTGTTAACCACTGGGCTATCCCTTTGTCCCAGGGAAATAGGACGCAGATCACCCCTATGCTGAATTCAGCCGCAAATGCCGATGAAGATGAAGTATGAAGATGTTAGCCTGTCAATCAGTCAGTTACCCACCCTGAGTGAGTGAGTTTAGTTTTACGTCCCACCCAACACTATTCCAGCTATATGGCGACGGTCTCTAAATAATCGAGTCTGGACCAGATAATCCAGTGATCAACAGCATGAGCATAGATCTACACAACTGGGATACGATGACATGTGTCAACCAAATCAGCGAGCCTGACAAGCCGATCCCATTAGTCGCTTCTTGCAACAAGCATGGGTTACTGAAGATCAGTTCTAAACCGGATCTTCACGAGTACGCTCACGCAGGAAGGACTATTTCCCAGAATCTCGATATGGTTCTAAATCTGCAACCCAGTCACACGATATTGAACGTCTCTCAAATATTTGTTCTGTTTACATACATTATGCCACTTCGGCCAATAAATCCTCTGAGCGAAACCTCAAATGCCTGAAAGCTATGTCCATAGTATACTACCTACCACGTGCTGAAGAACTGGCCACAGTCGAGATGTAACGCTTGGTTCATAGACCTTCTCGCTGGAACAGATAAAGTGTGCCGTATAGAACAACATACCATTCCCTGAAATACCAATTACTACCGTAAGACATGAAGGTAAGCCCCAAGCGATGTTAGCATTACGACGTTTTTAAATCCTTGTCCAGGCATCGTAGTTTACTGTTAATATAACGTATATGGCGCTCATAATAGTCACGCGCTATATGGCTATCCCCGGTCATAGGACACAGTACAATACATCAACTCCCTGCTCACGGCGCGGTACGTAGCATTACTATCCCGCCGGTCGATAGGACACTATCGTACTTTCCAATACTTTTGCAACTCCTAAACTCAGTCAGTCAGTCATACAGCCATGCTGCCTGTTAGGCGCAATGAACTAAACGCACACATTGCCAGCACATCCTCACGGGCACCCATTGCACAGCTAGGTGAACTGAGACAATGTGGATCTAAGCATCTTGTTCAAGGATACTACGCAAATGTGCCCACCTCGGGACCCGAACGTTGGTGCCTTCACCGGGGATCGATCCCGGGCCTTCAGCGCGATAGGCAGACGCCTTACCACTGCACTATTGCGCAGTGTAGCATTAAGATCGCTCTTTGTGCACATTGACCGAGGACCCCGTCCCACAAAGCCATGGCAGCACTCTTACTCTGTGTTAATACACTGACGCATTAGCGCTGTTCTGGTGCAGGTGGCAATGTGGCCCAACCACCGATCTCAGCGCAACGATTGTTGTAAACCTATGTTGAAGTCTGGGAGCGCTGCGATTAGTTTGCTAAAAGGGACCAACTTTGAGTAATAGAAATCTGGTTGCTTGTTGTTATCCGCTAGATGGATTCCTGTGAAATCCCAGAACACCAAAACCATCACCTTGCGATGTAAATGAACAGACTTCATGCGTTAATGCTTGTTTGTTTGTTAACGCTAACCTCAGCAATATTCCAGCTATCTTGCGGCGGTCTGTAAACACTCCACAATCGAGTCTATGGCGGCGGTTGTACGAGTCTGGACCAGACAATCCAGTGATCAACAGCATGAGCATCGATCTACGCAGTTGGGATACGATGACATGTATCAACCAATTTAAGCAACCTGAGCACCTGATCCCGTTAGTCGTCTTTTACGGCAAGCATGGGTTACTGAAGGCCAATTCTGTCAGTTTCATCGTAGTAAAAGATGAAATGAGATGTATGATAAAGAGGAATACTCTAACATTCTGAAAGAGCTATTCTAAACAGCTGAAAACATTCAATGAAAAGTGATCGAACATTGCGAACGCCGCGTCAGCAGTTTTGCAGATAAGGAATAAGGTGTCTTAGGTGTCTTAAGTAGTCTTAAATGTCTTTGAGTGGCGACCCGTGAAGGTCCGGGTTAGAATATTGATCTGCAGCATGAGCGGATCCAGGAATTTTGAAAGGAGGGGGTTCAGGAGGATCGAATCCCTGACAAACAAACTGTTCACACCCTTGACTCCGCCAACGAAAAAAATCTTCATGGTCTTAAGTCATTTTAAAGAGGGGTGGGTGTGTGTTCGAACCCAGACTCTCCTCTGGAACGGAGGCGACTTCAACGGATCGGGTGGTCAGGCTCGTTGACTTGGTTGACACATGTCATCGGTTCCCAATTACGCAGATCGATGCTCATGCTGCCGATCACTGGATTGTCTGGTGCAGACTTATTTACAGACAGCCGCCATATACCTGGAATATTGCTGATTGCGGCGTAAAACTAACTCACTCACTCACTCACTCACTTTGAGTGGCATTTTAGAAGTTGGGACATACAATATTGAACAAACTTTATGGACAACAACTGCTTTGTCCATGCGACGTTTTGATATAGAGTCTTGTACCGTTGTCAAACAGGAATTTGTAGTCTTAAATTTAGTTTTGTAATACGGTTTTCTGGAACTGGACATACCCTTGTCGTATGGGGATAAACAGATCTCCTTAGACCTGTGCTAAACGGCTTCAAAGATGTTGTAACAAGTTTACATGTTGCTGTTAGCATTTTGTTCAAGGATACTACGCAAATGTGCCCACCTCGGGACCCGAACCTTTCTGCTTTCACCGGGGATCGAACCCGGGCCTTCAGCGCGATAGGCAGACGCTTTACCACTGCACTATTGCGCAGTGTAGCATTAAGATCGCTCTTTGTGCACATTGACCGAGGACCCCGTCCCACAAAGCCATGGCAGCACTCTTACTCTGTGTTAATACACTGACGCATTAGCGCTGTTCTGGTGCAAGGTGGCAATGTGGCCCAACCACCGATCTCAGCGCAACGATTGTTGTTAACCTAGGTTGAAGTCTGGGAGCGCTGCGATTAGTTTGCTAAAAGGGACCAACTTTGAGTAATAGAGATCTGTTCGCTTGTTGTTATCCGCCAGATGGATTCCTGTGAAATCCCAGAACACCAAAACCATCACCTTGCGATGTAAATGAACAGACTTCATGCCTTAATGTTTGTTTGTTTGTTAACGCTAACCTCAGCAATATTCCATGTCTATGTCTCTGTTGTCGAGGCATCTAGTTTGTTTCTCCGTTTGAAACACTCCACAATACTCAAGCTATATGGCGGCGGTTGTAAATAATCGAGTCTGGACCAGACAATCCAGTGATCAACAGCATGAGCATCGATCTACGCAGTTGGGATACGATGACATGTATCAACCAATTTAAGGAACCTGAGCACCTGATCCCGTTAGTCGTCTTTTACGTCGAGCATGGGTTACTGAAGGCCAATTCTGTCAGTTTCATCGCAGTAAAAAGATGAAATGAGATCTATGATAAAGAGGAATACTCTAACATTCTGAAAGAGCTATTCTAAACAGCTGAAAACATTCATTGAAAAGTGATCGAACATTGCGAACGCCGCGTCAGCAGTTTTGCAGATAAGGAATAAGGTGCTGCCATTAGAGTAGTCTTAAATATCATTGAGTGGCGACCCGTGAAGGTCCGGGTTAGAATATTGATCTTCAGCATGGGCGGATCAAGGAATTTTGAAAGGTTTTGTAATACGGTTTTCTGAAACTGGACATACCCTTGCCGTATGGGGATATACAGATCTCCTCAGACCTGTGCTAAACGGCTTCAAAGATACTGTAACAAGTTAACATGTTGCTGTTACCATTTGTACACATATATACTCACGAGCATGGACTGCCGCACTTGCAGACATCCAGACCCTTACTGGACTCATCTATAAACTTGTTATATACCTGGTCCTCACACTTCCACTCTGAAAGAAGAACACGCAGGCTATCCTCAACCTTGTGAGATAAATACAAGTACACTGAACCCATTAGCAACAACAAGTTCGTCAGCGTGTCCATTTGTCACAAACAGTGACGTTGTACAGATTGTTTCTCGTCTACAGTGTGACTGAACGGACATACTTACAGTCCACATCAAATGGACTCAAAAAAGCTTTCGTGGCGAATGGGTCCAGGTTATTTATAATCCTTGATTATCGACGATGAGCTAAACATTGTCACCAAACCAAATTTCGGAGACCGAAATTCCATTCTGTAAGGGATTATAGTTATATATGTCATTCTGTGGATTACACTTTTAGAAAATGTGGAACGAAAATCCTGAAACATCATTTCTATCATTTCTTCATTCCTTGGACACCAAGTGCATCATGACATATACAAATCTATATTTTCTATATGGGATTACATAAAGCATATGTTACCTCTGACTATTTTCCACATGCCTTTGGCATTGTGTGTTCATAATTACAATCTTTGTCGGTAAGGACGCGACAACTGATATAACAACCTCGACGTCATTAAATGTAAACGATTGTTGTCAGACATGTGAGAAATATTTATTTCATAATGCATTTGGTTCATGTCACCAAGAGATCAAGAAATAATGGAAATGATGTTTTAGGCTTTTCATTTAGGCATATTTACTAGTCCGTTTGCTCCTGCTAGATGTAATACCTCTTCATGGATATTAGTGACTAACTGATAACTGATAAGTTCCAACCAAAACACTTTTCTTCAGAAAATGATAACAGCGCTCTGGGTATGTACATATAATTGTACGTCAGTGTTTACAACAATAGCCAGATTTGTATACGTACAGATATTGATAGTGGAGTTAATCCCCTTGCAACCATTTGATGTCTACTTAACCATGTTTGGTTTTCATACTGCAGGGCACACCCACCCCACCCCACCCACCCCTCACTCCAAGCCCCTAATACCTATTGTGATAGCGATTCAAAGCTTGATCATAGATTCCCCACACACACACCCTCTTACCTCCCAGTGAGTAAATGAGTGTGGTTTTAGAGCGCTTTTTAGCGATATTCCAGCGACGTGGGACACCAAAACCCAAAATGGGTTTCACACATTGTACCCATGTTGGGAATCGAACCGGGTCTTCGGCGTGACGTGCAAACACTTTAAACACAAGGCTACCCCAGCGCCTCTTTCCCTCATCAACCTTCCCATGTTTTCTCACCTGTGTCGGTGGTGCAGATCTTGATTGAGTTGTTGACTGACGCCTCCTGTTCCGGTTGGCACTTGCATGACTCTATCACAAAGTTGCGCAGACAAAACTCCCGACATGCCTGAAATATCAGCATATATCGAACGGGCTTGTAACAAAGAAAACGATGTGTATGGTTAAGGACGTGTTCGCACGTCACGCCGAAGACCCGAGTTCGAAGACCCCGCATGGGTACAATCCGTGAAGCCTATTTCTGGTGTCCCCCATCGTGATATTGCTGGAATATTGCTAAAAGCGGCGTAAAACTCACTCAAAGCGTATTCGCTACGAGCACGTGCAAGATTGTTGCTGTGGCGATAAAGATCAAATACTCACTCACTCAATCTCTGTAAAGCTACTGGCTAGATTTTATTGATGTATTTTTCTTTCTGAAAAGCCCATACTCACCCGCTCTGAATAGGCCACGCCAAACTTTCTTTCGAATTCTGCGCTGTCATTGCACGAGCCATACCTGCCTCCAAGTCGCTCGATCTTTACCTGTGATTTTCCAATAAATACAGTTTCAGTAACGAAGTCATTTGTACGAGAGAGAGAGAGAGAGAGAGAGAGAGAGAGAGAGAGAGAGAGAGAGAGAGAGAGAGAGAGAGAGAGAGAGAGAGAGAGAGAGAGAGAGAGAGAGAGAGAGAGAGAGAGAGAGGGATAGTGAGGGCGGGAACTGGAGAAAGCGCGTGAGAGACCGAAGGGCAGAGGAAGGGTACATTACACGGACGTACCAGTTTCATGGCAATACTTGTCTCAGAACCCGCTGAGACCGTGAAGCCTTCTGACCCGGGAAAGGGGCGTGTCCCGTTGTCGTGTATCACCACCTTCAGGCCGTACCCCGTCTTGAAGGTTTCGATAAAATCTTCCGACTCCAAATTGATGACCATGGATAATCCTTGGAGGAATATTGAATGTAGGACATGTTTTTAATGAGATCAGAATAATACTAAAAGATAGGTTTATTTTAAAACTGGCGAGACCTTTCCCTGTAAATCATTTTTGTATGGCGCTACCGCTACGACTACGACTACGACTACTACTACTCCTCCTACTACTACTACGACTACTACTACTACTACTACTACTACTACGACGACGACTACTTCTACTACTACGACGACTATTAGTACTACGACTACGACGACTACTTCTACTACTACGACTACGACGACTACTACTACTACGACTACGACGACTATTTCTACTGCTACGACTACTTCTACGACTACGACGACTACTACTACGACTACGACTACTATTTCTACTACTACGACTACGAAGACTATTATTACGACTACGACGACTACTACTACTTCTACGACTACGACGACTACTACTACGACTACGACTACTATTTCTACTACTACGACTACGACGACTATTATTACGACTACGACGACTACTACTACGACTACGACTACTACTACTACTACGACGACTACTTCTACTACTACTTGTATTTTGATTCAAAGTATGCGCCTACTACAGCGCTGTATCCTGATCTGTCCTCAGGATTATTTTGTTGCTGATTCATGCTAGTTTGTAAAACTACAATGACTTTCTATGGAAAATAATCTACAATTAGAATGCATGTTCTCACAAAGACGCCATGAGCAAATCAGCATTGCATTAGAGGCATTCTGTCGCAATATTTCGAAGTACTGACAAGCATAACATTATCAGTCGCGGAAAGCAAACAAATAACCATTCCGACATTCAATGAAATTTGGTGTTGATCAACACATTCTGGAACGTGTAGGGCGAACATTTACAGTTGATTGAATTCTGTATTTACATTACGCAACAGAATGCACTCAATGCAAACATACAAACACATCTAATGGATGTTCTGATCCGTGTGGGTAAAGTATGAACATTCCAAATAATGAAAACATGACCAACACAATAAAATTGCGATATCCAGGAGACTCAAGCAATTATCAGCGCTAATATTCCGTATTATTAGTAAATATGGCAGGGGTATAATATCAGATAAAAACCTAATCGAGTGTGTAACTTGGATAATGTTGCCATTTAATGTGTAGTTAGTGTTTTCCGTATAATATTGAGCTTTGTACACATTTAAACTTTGCGTGTTCGATTTTAACAATTTAACAGAAAACATCATCCCATTGTCGTTTCCGCTATAAATACTGTTTAACTGTAAAAGTATCTGTGAGAACATCGATCAGACTCTTGGGTAATTGTCGATTTTATTCATGAGTACACTTGTACAACTAAAACAACGTTCTGTTTAGCAAAGAAAATGCATTTTAATGAATCGTTAGACAGTTTACTTAAACCTTGATATCATGGTTGTACCGGGCGGTGGGGTAGCCAAGTGGTTAAAGCGTTCGCTCGTCACGCCGAAGACCCGGTTCGATTCCCCACATGGGTATAATGGGTGAAGCGCATTTCTGATATACCCCGCCGTGATATCGCTGGAATATTGCTAAAAGCGGCGTAAACCTAAACTCACTCACACAGTTGTACCAATTTTAGTGCATGGAGAGAGATTGCAAGTAATACGTATTATTGAGTCACGCTGCGAGTTTCAAACACTAACACCGGGTTATACAGGAAATAGGACGATTTCCACTTTATATACAAATCGAGAACTGAGTAAAATGCCTTTGGAATAATCTTGATAACTCAAAGAACAATATATCGAATTGCATGAAATATTTAATATTTCCATTTAAGAAATAATTACAAATATTAGTAACTGTTGCAGCATTTACCAACGTCTACTTTCCGATCTGAAGCAGTACCCCAGAAAAAGAAGAAGTATATGTACAAGTTATACGTTGAGTATGTGCGGATTAATCCACGAACTGGTTGGTAATACTACGAGCCGCGAAGCGTACTTAGTAACTTACTTACTAGTGGTGTTCCGATTAATTTAAATAACTGAAGACTGGTCGCAGTGACCAAACGACCAAGCAATCGATCACATTTTCTCATAATCGAACATAAACGATTTTGGAACTACTGTTTTAGTCTTTGAAATACTTGACAATGGAACATATCTTAGAAGTTGTCAGGGCCTGAAAACGTGTTTAATTCTTAGAAAACTCACTTCACTAACTGAAAACACATGACTGAATATTTCTTGAAGACTCAAGGAAGTTTATGTTCAAGATATATTAGTCATCACTTTAAAGTAGCAAGTTGCATCATGTTATACATATCCGCAATAACAACCTGGATAAGAAAATCTGAAAAATGACGCTAACCAATTTTTGTCGATGATTGTTCGTTGGTAATGATGCAATCATCAATTGTGAGATTTCAACCAATTCCCAACACTATTACTTACACCACGACAATGATGAAAGAACTTCCTGTGAAGGTGAAAAATAACAATAAAAGTAAATTTTGAAAAGTCCTTATTTGTGTCACAATGATTGCTCGGGTGTAAAATGGACCGTAATTTGTATATTAAACACATGACGATATGTCATGCAACTAAATTTAGTTCTCTGAATTTCTTTGTTTTGACTTAAGTAAGTATAGGAGTTTCGAACTCGTCATATTACAACAGAATATAACATGTTGTGTCTCTCTTGTTTCTCAGCGCCAGTGTGGGATTTAGTTTCTGCTGTGTTCAGTGTTTTATATGGTCGCACACCAGAGGTAATACGGCACAGACGTGTAGGCACGTGCCGAATGTATCGCCCGTGCACGATTATCACGTTCGTCATATCAGCATTAGTCGTGTGGCTCCTGTCCAGTCGACCACGTTGTCATTTTGAGCCAGTATTCATGGAAAGCATTTTTATAAATGGAGTGAGTGAGTGACTTTAGCTTTACGCCGCAATCAGCAATATTCCAGCTATATGGCGGCGGTCTTTAAATAATCGAGTCTAGACCAGACAATCCAGTGATCAACAGCATGAGCATCGATCTGCGCAATTGGGATACGATGACATGTGGCAACCAAGTCAGCGAGCCTGACCACCCGATCCCATTAGTCGCCTCTTACGACAAGCATGGGTTACTGAAGATCAATATTCTAAACCGGACCTTAACGGGTCTGGTAAAATGGAGGAGACGACGTATCTTTCTCTGTCAGATATTTTAGATGATGATGATTTTTACGATGTTTGATTATATTTACGATGTACAATGTGAATGACCGCCCCCTAAAATTTATGTACATATTGAGTGACCCCTTAATGTACAAAATCAATGACTACCCGCGCTCCCTTCCCATAGTTTTTAAGCATAGGTATTTAACATTTTATGTACAAAATTGCCGTGTTTGGCACATATGTATATATATTGGTTTACATATGCAAGACTAAGAGGTGGAAAAAGTCATATGAAGTCCGGTTTTCATTTTGATGTTTTAATGAAATTATCAATGCAAGACTAAGAGGTTGAAATATTGATGAATGAGTGATGAGTGAGTGAGAGTGAGTTGAGTTTTAGCATGTTTGAATAGTGTTAATTTATTATAATATAATGTCAGACAATTAAAACACATAATCATAACTGTTCAGTTTCAAGCTTTAGACAAAATGTGTTTTTGTGCTCAGCTACAACCGGACATGCATGGACAAGGATTCGAACATGACCGGCACTATTGCTGACTTGATCATCTTCTGTTTAAATACACGTAACAAATTAATTTCCATTTTCTTACATTTTGCGAAACATGATAAAAAATGGTGGATGTGAATGATTGACGTCTTTGGTCTGTGGTATTCTTGGCGTGTCTTTGCGGTACGTTAATGGTCGACACTGAACCAGAATCATTCAACACTATTCAACACGTCGGATCATACACGTGAGACCCGTACTCCGCTATGTATTTACCTGATTAGGGGCGGTGGGGTAGCCTAGTGGTTAAAGCGTTCGCTCGTCACGCCGAAAACCAGGGTTCGATTCCCCACATGGGTACAGTGTGGGCAGCCCATTCTGGTGTTCCTGGCCGTGATATTGCTGGAATATTGCTAAAAGCGGCGTAAAACCTCACTCACTCGCTGTTTACCTGATTCTGGTCCGCTTTTCGTAGCTTTGAATCCCTTGTTCTTGAGAGTGTAGCAGTTTCCAAGATCTCTGGACAGAAACGTCGTAAAGTTGCTGGAAAGCGAAACGTTGGACATAATTTTGAAGATCAAAGTAACCTGAATTTATTTTTATGTTACGTATGTTTATTGACGTAGCATGAAGTCTAGTTAAAGAATACAAACACAATTAGATGATAACAAACTGACTGGAAGAGCACATTGCAACACAAGTAATTATTTAAGATACTGTGAATAAACGTATGACTAGGATTACACTGATATAGTTTTCGCATACGTTTTCGCACGTGAACAGCATATATAACTGGTTTAACTGTTGGCACATGTAAAACTGGAATGACCTTTGACCTTCTGCGCAACATTTGTATCGGTTTGTACTCAACTTGCTCTACCTGTGGAAGGCCCAGATACACATTACCATTATACTGCAAATAGAAGCGACAAAACACGTTTGACATTCATAAGAAATCTCTGCTAAAAGCAGAGTCAATTGTACAATTGTGACTATATCATGAGCATACATTTGTTTCACCGACCGCGTCATACCAAAAGACGTTAAAATATGGTACTTGTTGGTCCCTGCCTGGCGCTCGGCATTAATGGGTACAACAAGGACTGGTCGGCTCGGAGTCAGTATAATGTGTCTGAGTGGGGTATTAATGCTTCACTGCGGCATGGTATCTCAGTGGGCTAGCACTATAAAACCAGCTTCAGTCTGGGCTAGTACAAGCAGCCACACACACACATACGCACGCATGCACGTCGTCATATGAGCGAAATATTCTCAAGTACGACGTTAAACCCAATTTCAACTCACCTCACCTTACATTTTTTCAGTAGTATTACATCTGTACAATGTTGTTTGTAAACAGACAATCCAGTGATTGTCACCATGCGGTACGATGCCAGAGCATGTGTTTATGAATCACTATGAAATAGTGATGATACCAGGTGTTCGCGAAAGGTGAGCGTATCCTGCCCCACCGGTGGCACCCGACATAAACATATGCAAAGACCTCTTCATTATAGCTGTTTCGCCAGACCAATCATTGGGAATTATATAACTGCTCCTTTGGTTCTATCCCAATGGATATAAAACACTTTGATTTGATCTGTGTATATTATAATATATATAAATCTGCTCGATATGTTGTCCCAGGTGACTTCTTATTCGTGTGTTGCACAAACGTACAAAAGAGATTGCCATTTCCCATTAGCAATACGCGAGTTCACATATATATGTAAAGTCTAATTTCGATCAGCAAATCCATATCTGTTATGAAATATAATCCCTCTAGTAAAAAGGATAAATTTAGTATACCACTGGTGTATGTGTGTTGTAATGATTGCTTGATAATTTGTACCCGACTCAAAGGTAACTGGTGATGGTGAGATATTTTGAGTATTTTGCGCAAATTATGCAGCTTACCTGAAGCGTTAACAGCAACCCAGAACCAACTAATTAAAAGAAACTAGGATCCCATTTGCATTTGTACTTGTGATCGTGAGTTCCACTACAAGGACCATTACATATAATAATCGTATAAGTATAAGTATAAGTGCACAATGACCCAGAACATGTTCTTTCATGTGTTGCATAAAAATGAACAATCCAAACCAGGAATCCCCCCACATCACCCACTAAAACAATAACAAACCAAAACCAAGAACACCACTCCCCCCTCCCATATAGCCCCAAAACAAAAACAAACCCCAAAACAAGAACGCACACCCATATCAACCCCCAAAACAAAAACAAACGATAAAGATACAAAATATATTACGCATTAGCTAACTTAAATTGTATGATGGCAATCCATGGATACCAATAAAAGTCTGTTTTCTCTATTATCTTCAACCTAACACATGTCTATGTTTACCTGGAACTGCACTTTCGTCCATTGATAGAGCACTCTATCAGCATAGTTTCAAGGTCATGGCCAACGCTCTGCCGGATGTCTCTGCAATGAGCATATGACGAAATGTGAGTGAATACAGTGAATAATAGCACACTCTGTAAAATTAACATATTCTGTCGAAACGCATGATTACCTGATTATTTATGAACATGGAAATATTTTGACTGTAAAGTGCGAAGACCCGTGGAGATCTGGGTTAGAATTGATCTTCAGCAACCCATGCTTGTCGTAAGAGGCGACTAACGGGATCGGGTGGTCAGGCTCGCTGGCTGGGTTGCCACATGTCATCGTATCCCAATTGCGTAGATCGATGTTCATGCTGTTGATCGCTGGATTGTGTGGTCCAGACTCGATTGTTTACAGACCACCGCCATATAGCTTGTATATTGCTGAGGCGGCGTAAAACTAAACTCACTCACTCACTTGTGCGAAGAAGTATGCCGGGTCCCATTTGTCATGATATGCCATTGTGTTTAAAGATTTTTCTTCCTCGCCTTTCACATATACTACTTTCTGATAAGCAAGTATTACTTTTATGTGACATCGTATATACCTCTAATTACTTCCTCTAACTAAATGCTCGAACGCTTATTTTTTCAACGGAGTTACAGACCCGGCGCTTATTAGAGGCCCTGCGCTTTTTGCGCTTACTGGTGTACTGTGCTTATTTCTTAAACCGCTGCTTTACCCCCAGCGCTTAGTAGATGAAATACGATAAATGACATGAATGTTTGCCTTACTCATACTCTCCTCCAAGATAGTCGGCGATCATCTGCTTCCTGACAAAAGCATCGTCCAGGCCACTCGTTTCCTCCTCATAACACCCGTCCTCGTCGCACACGTACTCCGTGAAGGTTGTCAGGTCTACTTCGTCGGTGGCGTTCACACAATCCTTCAGAAAATCAAAATAATAATATCAGCAGAATACTAGCTTTGAACAAAGGACCCGTGAAGGTCCGGGTTAGAATACTGATCCTTAGTAACCCATGCTTGTCGTAAGAGGCGACTAACGGGATCGGGTGGTCAGGCTCGCTGACTTGGTTGACATATGTCATCGCGCAGATCGATGCTCATGCTGCTGATCACTGGATTGTCTGCTCGAGACTCGATTGTTTACAGACCGCCGCCATATAGATGGAATATTGCTGAATGCGGCGAAAACCTAAACTCACTCACGCACTTTGAACAAATATTCATCTTACATTATGATCTCTTTTTAAGGCAGGATCGGTGTCCAACAGTCACAGTACAACTCGTTGGATAAATTCCTTGGGTAAAAACCCCCCTTAAATCAAGCTATGGGAGACTCGCAGGGAAGATTCTAAAGAGCAATAAAATGTCTGATGTGTCGCAAGTCATGTTATGGGGAAAACTTTGGGAAGATTCTAAAGAACAATAAAATCTTGAAGTGTCGCAAGTCATAATATCGGTAAAACATTGGGAGGAGGAACAATAAACACTCGTCCTCGTCGCACACGTACTCCGTGAAGGTTGTCAGGTCTACTGCGTCGGTGGCGTTCACACAATCCTTCAGAAAATCAAAATAATAATATCAGCAGAATACTATCTTTGTACAAACATGCATCTTACATTATGAGCTCTTAAGGTAGGATAGGTGTTCTAACTAAATATTGTCATAATACAACAGTCACCGTACAACTCGTTTGATAAACTCCTTGGGTAAAAGGAAAACCAACTGCACTTAAGTCAAGCTATGGGAGGCACCCAGGAAAGATCCTAAAGAACAATAAACTGGCTGATGTGTTACAGGTCATGTTATGGGGAAAACGTTGGGAAGATTCGAAAGAACAATAAACTGTCTGATGTGTTGCAGGTCATGTTATGGGGAAAACGTTGGGAAGATTCGAAAGAACAATAAACTGTCTGATGTGTTGCAGGTCATGTTATGGGGAAAAACGTTGGGAAGATTCGAAAGAACAATAAACTGTCTGATGTGTTGCAAGTCATGTTAGGGGGAAAACGTTGGGAAGATTCGAAAGAACAATAAACTGTCGGGTGTGTTGCAGGTCATGTTATGGGGAACAACGTTGGGAAGATTCGAAAGAACAATAAACTGTCTGATGTGTTGCAGGTCATGTTATGGGGAAAACGTTGGGAAGATTCGAAAGAACAATAAACTGTCTGATGTGTTGCAGGTCATGTTATGGGGAACAACGTTGGGAAGATTCGAATAAACAATAAACTGTCTGATGTGTTGCAAGTCATGTTATGGGGAAAACGTTGGGAAGATTCGAAAGAACAATAAACTGTCTGATGTGTTGCAGGTCATGTTATGGGGAAAATGTTGGGAAGATTCGAAAGAACAATAAACTGTCGGGTGTGTTGCAGGTCATGTTATGGGGAAAATGTTGGGAAGATTCGAAAGAACAATAAACTGTCTGATGTGTTGCAGGTCATGTTATGGGGAAAACGTTGGGAAGATTCGAAAGAACAATAAACTGTCTGATGTGTTGCAGGTCATGTTATGGGGAAAACGTTGGGAAGATTCGAAAGAACAATAAACTGTCTGATGTGTTGCAGGTCATGTTATGGGGAAAACGTTGGGAAGATTCGAAAGAACAATAAACTGTCTGATGTGTTGCAGGTCATGTTATGGGGAAAACGTTGGGAAGATTCGAAAGAACAATAAACTGTCGGGTGTGTTGCAGGTCATGTTATGGGGAAAACTCGTGTGGTGTTGAATCATTATCACTTTGGACCAACGGTGATCCTGAAAATAGGTAACGCTGCTTTTAACGGTATTCCGGATATGTAATTGCGTGCCAGCTTAAAAGGAGTGGAAAGGCCGAATTATTGCAGATCTCAGACGTTAGTGAACTCATATTTGGAATCGAACCCTTGTCATCGGCGTGACGAGCGATCGCTTTAACCACTAGGCTACCCCACCGCCCTTATGAGTGTGGTGCTGACAAATCCAGGAACCTGATCGGGGCGTACCTAGGTTCGAATCCACAATAAAATATTTCTAAGGGACGCAACTCTGTACAGTAATTAGACGACTGATTGATAGGACGACAGGATCATACCTGACAACCCCCACCCCAACCCCCATCCCGCACTCTCTTTCTACCCACAGCATTAGAAAGAGACCCTTAGGGCAGGACAACGAGAGTAATAACCTACGTCACTCTGGTAAGAAGAAGGTATTTTCAGGAGTTTCTGTATACTGCAGTCCAACATGTGGGCCTTAGATAACATGATGGGGTTCATGTTGCAGAGGGTGACGGTGGGGAACGGGAGAGACGTGAAGCCGAGTTTCACCGAGGTCTTGATGGGGTAGCTGTAGAAGGTTGTGAAGAGTTGGACAAGCTGAGCGATCATCACGCCAGTAGCGGCCAGGAAGAACATCGCCCACATCACCTGGAAACATGCATTTCAAATGAAAATGATAATAATAATAATAATGATAAGAGTACTTTTATAGCATCTCATCCACATCACTGAAGGACATGCTCTAAGCGCATGCATGTCACAGTTCATTATTACCCCGGATTACCCAAGCTGCCTGACTTATCCCACCGGGTACCCATTTTCTGCTGGGTGAACAGAGGCAATTTTGAACAGACTCACTTGCCTAAGGTGAGACCACATGTATCACATTAGCTTCGTTCTGGGGCAGGACTGAAGCCCTCGAAGATTCTTTCTGATTATTCCACGTCCATGTCACCAATAACTGAATCTGTTCAGCCTGTAAATAACTGAGTCTTATCGTACGGTTTCATGATATATGCTTATGGTGATCCCGTGAAGATCCGGGTTAGAATTGATCTTCAATAACAAATGCTTGTCGTAAGAGGCGATTAACGGGATCGGGTGGTCAGGCTCGCTGACTTGGTTGACACATGTCATCGTATGCCAATTGCGTAGGTCGATGCTCATGCTGTTGATCATTGGATTGTCTGGTCCAGTCTCGAGTATTTACAGACCGCCGCCATATAGCTGGAATATTGCTGAGGCGGCGTTAAACAACAACCAAACCAAACATGTAGAGAGTATCATCAATAATAGATATGAATGTAGTATCTCATTTTTGGGATAAATATTTACTTCCAAAAAATGTCGTAAGAACAATTTAAAGTTGGATAAGATTGGCGCAGTGGCATCTTATGAATATTACTTCGATGGGCACTTCTTGAAAAAACCTTCCTCTGCTATAATCTGGGTGATGTGGCAATGCCTCGCTCTCTCACAAAATGGTTAATGTCATCATTCACCGGGTCGCAAACATCCAGGACTCTCAGAACCCATGTGTACTGTGCTTAAATCCTGATGGTAATGGCGGCGTCCATTCAGTCGAAATCTTACCTTGAATACAAGTCGTGGCGACGCCCATATCTTGGGTATTCCCATGAACGAAGTACTTTCTGCAAAGTACGTGAAGAACGTGACACAGTTACCACGTGGCTTTTCTTTCTCTTTATCTTCATCGTTGATGGGTTGTACTTGCATGTTCTGGAAGAAAAATAGTATCGATACTGACAGTAATGTGGTGTGTTTCTCATGTTCGAGATTGTATGAGTCCTTAAATTAAATACAGCAATACCATCAGTACCATCGAAGAGTGAATGAGTTAGTTTTACGCCGCTTTTAGCAATATTCCAGCAATGTCACGGTGGGGGACAGCAGAAATGGGCTTCACACAATGTACCCATGTAGGGAATCGAACCCGGGTCTTCGGCGTGACGAGCGAACGCTTTAACCACTAGGCTACCCCATCGCGCGTACCATGGAAGAAACGTCAATATAATGAAAGTTGAGGTCAGTAGTATGAAATAAGCAGTAATACCAACTAGTAGTCAATACCAACAGCGTAAAAGTAGCGTCATTACCATGAGAGCAACGGTCAATATCCGCCAACCTGGTGCGGAAACCGTATTCCATTCATGCGAAACCTAAACCAATAAACTGTAGGATTCTGTGCACAACTAATCCTTGGTACGTTGGACAAAAATATACTTCATAAATGTGTCACAGTAACATTAATATAGCCAGTAAAATATAACATCAGGCGATTGGGACAAGAGAAACACAATACAATATGTACATTAAGGGTCTGGGAGTGGGACATAGGTATAGTGAGGATATCCCAAATAATAGCGGTGTATCTCACAGCTGGATTTATCAGGTTCAAATTCACATAGTATATGGGAACCAACGAAAATGACAATATTGTATTCCTGATTGTATTCCGCAAAATGTGGTTGTAGTTTATCGCTGCACTTACCAGCTACACGACGGCGGTCTGTAATCAATCGAATCTACGACAACCGATTATTGACGTCATAATTTGGGATACGATAATATGCTGCAATTGTGGGTGGCAGGATCCCAGTTCAACTTCTTATCTTCACGGGATGTACTCCATAACATGATATACATGTATTTATAATGTTCCCTTCCTTGTCTTACTTCTACCAGGATATCGTAGTTGTACCTTCTACCAGGAATTTACTCGGGATAACCATAGTGGTACCTTCTACCTGTACTTTACTCGGGATACCATAGTGGTACCTTCTACCTGTACTTTACTCGGGATACCATAGTTGTACCTTGTACTAGGACTTTACTTGGGGTGCCATAGTGGTACCTTCTACCAGGACTTTACTTGGGATGCCATAGTGGTACCTTCTACCAGGAATTTACTCGGGATACCATAGCTGTACCTTGTACCAGGACTTTACTTGGGATGCCATAGTGGTACCTTCTACCTGTACTTTACTCGGGATGCCATAGTTGTACCTTCTACCTGTACTTTACTCGGGGTGCCATAGTGGTACCTTCTACCAGGAATTTACTTTGGATGCCATAGTGGTACGTTCTACCAGGACTTTACCCACGACGCAGTAGTTGTACCTTCCACCAGGACTTTATTTGAGGTGCCATAGTGGTACCTTCTACCATGACCTTACTCAGGATACCATAGTGGTACCTTCTACCAGGACTTTACTTTGGGTGCCATAGTGGTACCTTCTACCAGGACTTTACTTGACATGACATAGTGGTACCCTCTACCATGACTTTACTCAGGATACCATAGTGGTACCTTCTACCAGGACTTTACTTTGGGTTGCCATAGTGGTACCTTCTACAAGGAATTTACTCGGGATGCCATAGTGGTACCTTCCACCAGGAGTTTACTTGGGATGCCATAGTGGTATCTTCTACCTAGACTTTACTCGGGATGCCGTAGTTGTACCTTGTACCAGGACTTTACTTGGGATGCCATAGTGGTACCTTCTACCTGGACTTTACTCGCGATGTCATAGTTGTGCCATGTACCACGACTATACTCAGGACGCAGTGTTCGCCATATATAGCTCGTGGGTAGTCGGGATGCCATGATTGTATTTGCGATGTCCCGTATACCGTATGGTCCGTTCAACGATAACGTATTTGAGCCATGATTGTACATGCTTGAAACCCGTGGAAAGCTGTCAGCATTAGACAGTATTGTACTACAACGAGGACTATAACCGATAACACGTAGACTCACTGAGCACTAATGAGCTGTATGCTAATAACGGTTCCGCCTGATGTAGCCCAACAATCCATGTCCCGTTTCACATTCATCCCTCTGTTGACATCTCTATTGTCCGCATGTTGTCGCAGACATTTAGACATCAATAATACGATTTCCACAATGATTATAGATGGAAAACACCATGGTGCAAATACCAACAATTGTCTGTACGGTTTAATGACGTTCACAGATAAACAGCCGATGTTTACACTGATAGATCGGTCAGCTATTTTCACCATGCCAATTGTCCAGGTGGAAGGCTAACGTGATTAAACAAGCCAATGCCCACAGGCAGGGAGAACATCAGTCATATCTATGACAGTTACAGAGCACCATAACCATCTCCTGTTTGAGTGAAAAGACAATTATTATTTTGAAAAACAATTTGAAAATCTAATCAAATAAAAACATATCGTTTGTCTTACCAAAAATATGAACTGTGTGCAGGGTGTGTGCGCTGTCAGGGTTAATTGGTCAGGGTCAATAAAATGGGTGCGTCTTTTGAAGTAGGAAAATATACCCTGTGGCTGATAAAATGTAATATCCAAGAACTCACATCTTCAGCCCCAGAATATGGAACCTTATGGTGGGTTCCATAACTAACAGTGCTATCATGTGCACCACACAGTGAGTGAGTGAGTATTTCAGCCATATCGTGACTATATCAAGTAATACATTAATAACAATCATAGGTAAATTATAAAAACCTGTCAACGAATGACAGTAAAACAACTATAATTATCACAGATATAAATTTAAAACAAGTAAATAAATCTAAAAATGTTTAATTAAATAGGACAATACAATATAAGACACGGGTTATAGATCGCCAACAACTGAAGGTTGATCACCATACTAGGGACCATGGGGAGTGCACCACACAGACTTGTACCAACTAAGGAAACATGGGAAAAGTATCGCAACACCCCACTGATTTTATTGCATCAATATGTTACCATTACCCATAGAAAATAAACTTATTTAAACCTCCATTTCACTTTCTATCTGGATAAGTTGAGTGAGTGAGTTTAGTTTTACGCCGCTTTTAGCAATATTCCAGCAATATCACGGCGGGGGACACCAGAAATGGGCTTCACACATTGTACCCATGTGGGGAATCGAACCCGGGTCTTCGGCGTGACGAGCGAACGCTTTGACCACTAGGCTACCCCACCTCCCCCTGGATAAGGTGACACCCAAGGAATGGTAAATCCAAATGCAAAAAGAACGAAGATCTGCAGTTTGTTCAGAGAAGAAAATACTGCTCATTTTGTAGTGCTGATAACTATGGACATATGACCTTAACAAGGGCGGTCAGTTAGAAGATTCTAGTATACAATCCTCCAGCATCAACAACCGTTCACTCTATGGTGTATCTCCGCCGACTGCAAAACATCCATGACCCGCCTCATTGATTGTATCAGACCTTGTCCTTGAGGTATAGTGTTCCATTCCTGATGGCGGGCCTGTTTCCATCAATCAGGGTTTGGTACTGGAGGATCTCCCTGTCGTATTCTGCGATACAAAATGTCCCAAACATTCTTGAGATCTAGACGGACCAAGGTAAAGGTGCTACCGCCACTTGACGTACATCTACAACGGTACATGCACGATGTGACCTTGCATTGTCGTCTATGAAGACTGGCCATGTGTTTAGAGGATGATCATAGAAAAGTGGTACAAGAACCATATCTAGGATGTCAGTATGTATCGTTGCAATTGTCCAATGGCATTCAGATTTTGTCTGATCGTCACAAGATTAAGTTCACATAATTGTATCACTCTCACTATGAAACCAGCATTCGAAATTAACGTTGGTGCTTAGGCCCGGAGCCGACTGAAAACTACTCGGACCCACAGCGTATGTTTTCTGCAGGTAATTATGGACGGCAACGTTTTCATCCCCAGTATCTAAGAGTATTATTTCCATAACGAAATATAGGGCCTACACATTTTGATCAGAACGTTTTATGGTTCTGGGCCTAAATTTTCGAAGCTCTCTTAGCGTTAAGATAGCCGTAAGTTAATGTTAATGTTTGGCACTTACGTTTGGCGCTAAGAGAGCTTCGAAAATCTAGGCCCTGGGTTCTTAGGGCTGCAACTTGTCAGGGTTAAGGGCAAACACTGTATGAGATCAAATTACAGTGACGTCGACCTTGACACCAAGCTAGTCTGGGGGTAATAGGCTGTATATTCGGACGAGTATAGGCGAATTCGGACCGTTCTGTTGGACAAACGACAAATTGTTAAATAACGGGTTCGCATGCTCGTCATTGATCATTTAAAATCAGTTTCAATGTGGGGGTTGAAAATCATAGTTGTTGCGATACATTTTTCCATGTGTACAACTCTCTTATACGTAACAACATATTGGACCTGATGACTACAGAGACATTGGAATTATTTTGTTGAAACATGATATCGACATTTCATTACAGCCCCTTGCAGAGGAGACCATTTTGTTTGTATTTGGCATTATTATCAAGGAACGGTACTGACCTCTCTGAAAAATCGTAGCTTTAACTGACACAACACAGTTAGAGTATTGTGGACCTGGTAATGTGTTCTTTGTTCAACCAACAAAGCTGATTCTATAATCTATGCCAGCTAATATGTTTATAGTTGCAGAGTTAATATAGCAAATGAGCTTTAAAGTAAGCAAGACCAGCGAATCCGGCCTGAAGCTTAGCAAACGTAATTTATATCACAGGCTAACCTACTGTGGTACTTTGGGGTATTTTGGGTAAAGTTCTAGTTCTATCCGGGTTGGGTTAACACAACATAGGTTTTTTTTAGTGTTTTCCCGGCTATGCTAATATGCACAGCCGCAACACACCCGACAGGTTGGTTTGTGTCTGCCTTGCATGTGGCAGCACATGAACTGCCTGCCTCTCGCCCTATAGTCTTTAGCCCATTGGTGCACCGGAGGTAA